TGCCGCCGGATTTTCGTACGATTTCTGAAATTGTCCGGATTTGTTCTGAAATGACATGCTATGTTTGTGTGCTATAAAAAGGGAATTATAAATCCTGAGCTGTCATGACGGAAATGAGCTCTGAAATCTGAAAATAAGTTCTGTTCTGGATCCGATGATAAGTTATGTTCTGGTGCTATAAGCACATTTGTTCTGGTGCCATGAGCACAAAGGGAGGCATAAGGGCTGAGCTGTGTAGCTCATCCTTGTTTTCTGCGTGTTTTTAGGTTCTGGGAAAGGGAAGGAAGTCTTGGACTAGTAGTTCAAAGTCTGATCCAGTATATGTATTTTGTACTTTTGATTTTTGTACAGTCATGACTTTTCTGTTCTGCTTTTCTTTCTGTCTGAAAGTCATGAGCTGTATTTGTATATGATTCTTTTGAGAAAGAAAAAGATAGATGATCTGTTCCGCTGCATTTGATGTTCATAGTAGCTCTGTGTGTGTGTTTTTGTGTGTAAATATTTGGAAGAAAGTTCTGAAACAAATTCCAAAGCCAGATCCTGGAATCAGTTCAGTCAGTCTGAAGTTCCGGCACCACGACCCGATGCGAGCGGGACCCGTCTCGGTCGGGTTGGGTCGTGACAATAAGTGCAGGAGCAAAATACCCTCAAGATACACTCATTGAATATATGAATACTGATATTGACACTGCTATGAACATTGTACTAAAATTGTGGCTAGCATTAATATTGTTTATTGTTATTAATAATATTCAACATTATTGATCATGATATTAATATTGTTATTGACATAGTATTGTTGATTGTTATTAATATTGTGACTGATGATGTAATGGATTGAGATGTGATGAATTATAGAATGATAAATTGATAATCGGTATAGACATGGTGCATATTTTTTATATGGTTTATAGTATCTTGTTCCCTTTTATCTTGCATTAATTTTAGTTTTAAGGTTTTAAGTACTTGTCGGGCTATATGCTTATTACATGGTTTAATATATTTTCATGAAATTGTAAGGATCCTATGATATGAGGCTGTGAATAAGATAAAAAATGCAATCATGTTTCTTTCTTCTATTCATTGATAAGTTGCAGTTAAATGATTAAAATGAAATATATATGTAATTATTTCAATATAGATTCTGGATTGTGACATTGTCGGCCACCAACGCCAATTGCAACTTGACTGCCACTATTATGTAGCAGTAGAGGTCAAGCCGCGAGCGGCTGGTCAGGTCGATGATGGGTCGCATTTTGCGCCAAACAACGGAAGTTGGTGCTGTGCTTATAATGGATTAAGATCATTTGGGCAGTAGGATTAAGAACCATAAAGCGAATCACACGAGATAAATCATGTATAAAATGCATAAGCGGGCACCATACTTCAGATTGGACGGGTGGATCATGCGAAGTCGCTTGCTGGAGCTCACACAAGTGCCTATGGAAGATAAGCAAGCCGGAGGGTGCTCAATGCTGGAGAACGAGCATGTCACGCGGGGGCAAGTGTGTGGGCCAGAAGATGCATGAGGCATGAGTGTGTTGATCACGAGAAGAACAACGACGGGCGCAAGCACGCAAGAGCACAAGTTGAAGCCGTGGATCGGAACGCACAGTGGAGGTCGGGCACGAGCGGTACTGGGCTGGTTCGACATGTTTGCTTTTATAGTTAGTACAGGGAGCTAGTCAGATTGTAGCAAGCGCGAGTTATTGTGAGCGTAAGTTCATGTTGATACTCTTTGATCTTTGATAGTAAAAAAACTATGTAGATGTGGAGATTGTTATGATTGGTCCAACTTTAGTTTAAATGATTCCGCATGACACCATACCATTCTCCAATTCCTATAAATAGGATGTTATAGGATGATGTATGAGGTGCCCAATTGAAAGGGATAAAATAAAATTCCTGTAAAGCTCTCTCCCTTCCTTGTCTCTCTCTCTCTCTCTCATCCAAAAAGATCTAAGAAACTCCTTCCTCCTTCAAAGAATTTCTCAACAATGTATATTATTTTAATTAAACAAAAACTCCAATTAAAAAATATTATAGAAATATTGGTCGTTAAAAAAATATTTTTCTAACAACAAAATCATAAAATCATAAACTGCCCAAACAAAGTTGTTTCTTGTTTGAGAGAATGAAGAGAAAACAATGTATTTTCCTTCCAAATTTCATATTCAAGATCGATTTTGTTATATTTAAAAGAAAAATTAATTTATACACATTCCTAATAAAAAATAATTAAAAAATATTATCGAACCAATGGTATAACTTATATGCTCTATTTTAGGGTCCGTTTGAAACAACTTTATCATTTTGTAAATATAGCTATAAAATTATCATACATAAAGAATTTTTTTTTGAAGTTGTTATAAAAAGTAGTTTCATGACAATTTTTTTTTTTTTAAAAGCAGCAATAAAACCTGACTTTAATTATTGTTTGAAAAGCAAACCAGCAAAATGTTATCCCAACCCGACCCTTGAAAAAAATAAACTCAATTTCTCTTCAATTAAGGCTTTGTTTGGGACGGCTTTCTTACTGCTTCTTAAAAAAAAATTAGAACAAAAATTAAAACTTTTGTTCTAAAAATTTGCTTTACGAAGCAGTAAGAAAGCCGCCCCAAAAGGCTTTATTTAAGTCTGCTTCCTAAACCAGTCTTTTAGTACAAAAGTTTTGTACAAAGCCGCTATTTTATAGCAGTAAAAAAGTTGTTCCAAATGAAGCCTAAGTAATAGATGAAAATAAATTTCAAATTAATTTTGTTTACCATTTCTATTTTCATTGTCAATCCTTATCATCAATAAAATGAAAGGAAGCTTCTTCATATGGATGAATTTTCAAATATTAAAAATTCAAAATTCTATTTGAAGATTTGAAACGCAATCTCATTATAATTAATTAAGATTAATAAATGAGCGTAGTTTGATCTTCAATGGCCCCTTCATTTTTTCTTATTATGAATGATTTCAATTCATAGCTTATTTAAGGTTAATCAATATGCATTTTAAAGGAGTATATCAATTTAGGCTTTGTTTGGAATAGCTTTTTTACCGCTTTCTAAAACATTTTTTAAGTATAAAAATTTCTAATTTAAAAATTTTTGTACTAAAAAACTGCTTTAGAAAACAATGAAAAACTGCCCCAAATGCAATCTTAGAAAGAGTTTGATAACCATTACAACACTTGAAGCTTTATGTATGATGTTAATGTGATTGGTATATTTATAATAGCAATAACTAATTCCACGCATTAGTGGGTCTTTATTTAAATAAAAAAATTAATTTTTTTTTGAATTAGTCTGAATTTTCTTTTTTTTTTATAAAGTAATGAGGAATTTGATTGGACTTTGGACGGTAGAAATATAATTATTGGAGGTCCCTACCTCAATTATTTCATTTTCTCCACCTATTTAAACGTAGTTGATTCAACCATCTTTCATAAGATGCCAAGGGAGGTGTTGTAAGTCCATTTATATGGTTGTAATTATTAAAAAAAAATAAAACATAATATTATATTATTACCTAAAATATTAACAAGCATGATTAAAAAAATTAATATTAAGAAATTGAAAAAATATTGAAATGTGATGATCTTTTTTAAAAAAAGTATCATGTAGTGATTTTATATATTTTTTCATATCTATATTTTCTTATTATTTTTAGATGGGCTAAAGTTTCATTTGGGATAATTTTTTTTATTGTTTTTTAAATAGAGTTGTAATAAAAAAAAAAACTTCTTTCGTCAATGAGTCATAATGATAAAGCTGAATGGAGATTCGCAACTAGGCCACCAAGGCCCATTGTGAACTGACTATCCATTAAAGGCCCGAAAATGGTAGGTTTCTATATTTTCAATCGAATGGGCCGGGCCTAATACTCAATAAGCTTTTCAATGAGAAATCTTCGTCCAATCCTAAGGCGCAGAAATGCGCAGCGAATACGTTTTTATTGCGTAAAATAACCCCATCTTTTCTCGGCATGGCGCAACGAATACCAAAGCCTTGTTCTCTTCCTGGGCTCGCTCGCTCTTCCGTTCAACCGCCATTTTTTCTTCCCATATATAGTGTAAGCTAGCGTTCGCACTTCGCTCGGCCGCTTCCGGAACTGAACTGTAAGCGCCAAATCTTTTTTTCTTCCCAGATTCGATCTGGTCGCATTTGTTTTCATCCCTCTCTTGTTTCTCTTTACAGCCCCTCGCTTATACAGAAGTCGTAGATTTCCCCCTTTTTTTCCGCATCCGTGGGTGGTGTAAGATGGAAGTCTGCATTAGGTTCTCAAAACGTTGATTTATCTTTTCGCTATTTAGCAATTTAGGATTTTATGAATGATTATTGATTTAAGCCATTTGATCTTAATAAAAAACATGCTATCAAACGTAATCTTTTATCATGGAATGAACGAAGCGGTTCAGTCAAATCTCTAATTGTTCTATTGTTCAATTATCTAAATGATTCTTTATGATTTATTTGGTTCTTGCACATGATGATTTTCGGAATGGATCGAACCAGCTGCTGTAATTCATGGTAAGTTCTTTCAAATAAACATATAGGTTTTTCCCCACAACAACAAGCATGCACGTAAGAGCATTACATTGAGTCATAACATCAATATCTGACAAAACAATCAGCTTATCACATGCATTTATAGTAATTAGGTTTCGTTTGAGACAACTTCCCTACTACTTTCTAAAACAACTTTCTAGTACCAAAATTTTTAGTTCAAAAATTTTTTGTATTAGAAATTTGCTTTGAAAAATATTAAGAAAGCCATCCCAAATGAAGTCTTCGTTTGGTAAGGCTTTCTTACTGCTTCTTAAAATAGCTTTCTAGCATAAAAATTTCAAATTTAAAAAATATATATATATACTAAAAAACTGCTTCGTAAAATAATAAGAAAGCCGTCCCAAACGAAGCCTTAGTTGGCCTAAAACACTTGAGCATTTCCATACAAAATACAAAACCAAAAGCGAACATTGCATTTAGTATTCAATTTCATAAACATACTAAGCAATCAAAAGCTTCAAGAATCTCATAGATGCTCATAAGATACATCTCCACATCAAAGCACATTCATTGAATAAATGCGTTCTTACTAGGAACTTGGAACATATTTTCATACAAAAAGAAGGTAGTTTTATACAAGAATCAATAAACAAGCGTAGGCTCAAAATCAGCAAAATCAACAGATCCAGAATCAATGGGAGGCATAAGATAGGCAGCCAAGAGTTCAGATACTAGAGCTGCAATTAGAGGTATCCTCTTCAAGTTCTTTACCATAGGAATGTCCTCACCTTCTCCAATAGCTATAATCTTCTGGTTGATCTCTACCATCCTGTCCAGCTTCTTCTTGAACTCTGGATTCTCAACATCAGGGACTGCTGGGAATATCCTTGCTGTTGTTCGGTTGGTCTGTGAGAATGCATGAAAACTTTAAAGATAAGAAATAGTTGAAAACTTAAACCATGCATGTAGATTCATAATAGAAACATAGATTGTGTGTTTGAATTTAAATAATTTGTGAGAAGGTGAACTTTTCTTGAAAAAAATTCATGACTGTAATTATAGTGAAATTTTACTGTAATAAAAATTAGTAGACAATAAATAAGCTAAACTATATAGATGTTTTTTTATTTTTATGTCTAGGGGTGTAAATGAGTCAGACGGGTCAAGTTTAAACAAGTTCAAGTGTTGTTCAGCTTTGCAGCCTTTGCTCATACAACTGATTGGATCAATGATCGATTCCTAGGTTTTATCATAAACCTAATTGGTTACTTTCAATTACGTAAATCAATAGTTCAAACCGCACTCAAAGGTAGGACATTTCCCATTGATATAGGAACTTCTGTACCAGAAACAATGATAGCCTCTACTGGAATGTAAAATACATCTCTTCTTACCATCCCCATAGTGTATGAGACAAATGTATGCATTTCAAGTACATACAACAAATGAACCAAAAACTTTTGTTTGTGTCTAGCTCCTTAAAGAGCCAAACACAAGCTATTCATGAATATTAAGGCTTCGTTTGGGACAACTTTCTAATTACTTTCTAAAACAACATTTTAGTGCAAAAAATTTTTAGTTAAAAAATTTTTTGTATTAGAAAGTTGCTTTAAGAAGCAGTAACAAAACCGTCCCAAACGAAGTCTAAATATAACTAAAAGTCATCTATAAGTTATAGAATATATAATCATTATGCGTGTGTGCATATATACATATATTTATAAACACAAAAGCATGCATGCATATTTGCTCATATATACATATTTTTTATGTATATATAAGCATAATGAAGCTACAATCAAGCCAAACATGATCAAACAAGACAATGTTCATGCTTAAGTTAGTTGAATAAATGAGTTTATAAAATTTGATTGAACTTGAGCTAATTATTTAGCTTAACATAATCAAATATGAACAACAAGCTTTTTTGATAGCCCAATTTATGTGTTTGTTTTCTTCTATTCATGTGCTCTCAATGGTTTAAATTAGGTCTTAAACTTATCATACTCCTATAAGGAAAATTATGAGACCTTATCATACCTCAATAATGACATGCATATCAAATTCTTTGGTGTTGAGGCCAATGCCTTCATAGAAAGCAGTACGCTGGCAATCATTGAGATACATTGTCACATAGACCTGCAAAACACAGCTTTTTTGGTTAAAAATCATTGCAATTTATGCTTTCATTTGGGATAGTTTAAGATCATTATTTTTTTCCTGCTTTTAAGAGATTTTTGTATTAAAAAGTATATATACAAAACAATAAGAAAATCGTCCCAAACGAAACCTCAATTTCTATAACTGTACAAAAGTAGGATCAAAGTCACAACAAAACTCTTGGAAATTTTCTCAACTTCTTAAAATGAGATCACTATGTTTGTTTTAGCTACATTAGCCTCATAAAATGTGAAGTTTTATTAGTCATTTAATGAGTAATTTGATCAATTCAACAAAGAAACGAATTCAAATAAGGTAACAGACAAATTTGTGTTTCAAAAATATAGATGAAATTTGGGTTTATTGGAAATGAAGAAGGTTAGCAAAAGTTTATCAATATTTTAGTTATACTAATGGTACAAACTTCTCGTAGTTAGAGTAAGGCTTCGTTTGGGATGGCTTTCTTAATGCTTTCAAAAGCAACTTTCTAATACAAAAATTCAATGAAAGCAAAGAAAAAATAATAGTCAAAAGCTATCACAAACAAAGCCTATGCCTAAAACTTTTGACACTTAGATTGATTTGGGCAGTTTTTTCGCACTTCATGTTTTTCAAATAACTATTGGCTCAATATTTTTACTGTTTTTCACAGAAATATCAAACAAATACTTAAATCCTTAAAATCTCAAACACTTAAAATCAAAATGATAAGAATTTACCGAGAGGCAGAAGAACCTAGACCACAACTTTGCCTTCCAGTCATTTAGGAACTGAGGCTGGGCTTTCATCAAAGCAGAAAAAAAGTCACCATGCCTGTTCTCATCCTGGCACCAGTTCTCAAAGTACTTGAAGATAGGGTAGAGCTGATACTCAGGATTTGCCTTCAAATGCCTATAAATGGTGATATACCTCCAGTATCCAATCTTTTCTGAGAGATAAGTAGCATAGAAGATGAACTTTGGCTTAAAGAATGTGTACTTTCTAGCCTTGGTTAGGAAACCCAAATCCAATGCCAAATTAAAATCTGATAAACCCTTATTCAAAAACCTACAAATTCCAAAAAAACATAAAAAGGAAAACTATTATATAGGCAGGATTTTCAGGTAAAAAATTTCTTACTTTCAAGAATACAAGTAGCAATAGAAAAGAATAATGCTATAATCCCCAAATAAGTTCAGCTAAAAATTGAGAACACATCAACTGCCCAAATGGTAGCTTATGCGGTCAAATTCAAGTTTAATGATTTTTTACTTTAAAGAAATATGCTCAATTAATAACTTTAACAAAGTTTTATTTGTATAGCTGGCTTGAACTTGACTCACTACGAGCATGCAAGTTGAGCTTATCAAGCCAAAAGCTTAAGCTCATATATTAAATGAGCTCGAATTCAAATTTGACGAGACTTAGCTTGTAGGCTCGCTGGTTAGCTCAATTAACACTAAGCTTCTCCAATATTTAAGTATCAAGAATTCCTCTTCTTATACTTCAAAAGGAAATAGTCCAATCGTTCCTTCTTCAATGAATCCCCATCGTGGCTTCCTCTTCTTCTCAACCGTTCGGTCTCATCAATGTCTTTTCCTGCTATATCCCATAGCGATGAACTCTATTGTGCTCGTCAATCCTTCTCCAGTGAGCCCTCGTTGAGATTTTTTTGTCTATGCTTCTCCAACGACAATGTCTCATCAAGGACCGAGTTAGGATGGATTATTACGTGCGTTATTCGGACACAAGCGCAATTCGGTTTTGTCTCTGTGAACAATATAAACACAGTTATTGTATCCTTTTATTGTTCAAACTGCGCTTTTAGTGTTCAAGAGATAAAACCGACGTAATAATCTCTTCTGAGTTAGAGGTAACTCTTAGGTATTTTATTCCAAATTCACCTCTAGCTAGCTGATTCAAGGCTTTGGATGACTTTGGACTTAATGAGTTCTCAATCACAATGACTTCTTATGAATATGGGGTGGTAAATGAGCAAAAATTTCTTCTTGCATTACGATATTTTTATAGCATTAAGAACTAACAATAGTTATAGGAGTAAATCTAACTAGGAGTAAATCTATCTGGGGATCATATCATTACTCAACAAAAAAGGCCTTTTTATTACATTAAAATTCATACCCAGCATGCCTGGCTTCATCTCTTGACATAAGTGAGAATATCTCCGCCACCACCGGATTAGTTTTCTGTCACAAAAACCAACTCGTTCAAAACAAAAAACTCATCAAAGCTCTCTACTTTACAAATTATTTAACTAAAAACCAGGTCAAAAAATCCAACCTTTAGCCTCCTCCCAAGCTCCTTATACAGCAAGAATCCGGAGAACTCAGCAGTACAAGATCTCTCCAGAAACTCCACGAAGATCTGTCGAAGAGGTCCCTGCATCTTGTCCGCCGCCTCCTTGAATTCAGGATTTCGAACAAAGTGGGTTTGATTATAATCGGTCTTAAACTCATTCAACAGAGCTTCGAACTCGGACTGGTTCAAGTTCTTATTAATCTCCTTGTTGAATAGCTGCTCCATTTCGTCAAAGTCTGTCGTGTAGAATCTCGGCGTAAGAAGTGACTCATTTATTTCTTTTTTCCCTTTCCCCCTCACCGGCGGTGCCGCAGCGGCGGCGGAGGCTCGGATGTGGAGAAACGGCGTAAATGAGACAGCTTTATGGTTTAGTGGTCGGCTGAATTTGGAAATGGAGTTGAAGGGTTTCGCGAGGGCGAGCTCTGCCGTAGCTGTTGCCGCCATTTTTGGAATTGGAAAGAGAGAAACGGAGGAGTTGAAGTCGGCAATGGATAGAGGACTATAACAGAGGGGATTGGGGCATTTGAGCTTTGAGATCAGGCTTTTATCTTAGGAAATCCATGACTGCTAATGAGATGATGACACGTGTGCTGAAATATTGTCGTTAAATCGAACGCACGTAAATAATGGCGTAGTGTAAAATCGATTAATTGGCATAATTTTTCCTAACCAATGGCTGCCAGCCAATGGAATTTGAGGTGAAATTTTAAATAAGCCACGCCTTATTTGAGATTTATGAAAAGGAGCTCTTATAAGATAAAATTAGAGAAAGAGGCAGAATAAAATCTGGTATTTGAGAGAATTTGTCTTAAAATGTTGGAGGATTTACATACCTACCCTATAATTTTTATATGTTTATTGATCTAATATCAAAATATTGATATTTATTTACATAACATTCAATTTTTTTAATTAACTAAAATATATTTTAATGTTATTGAGATAATAAAATATAATAAATAAATATTAGAGTTTTGTCAAGCCTAGCTCAAGTCATCTCTAATTTAAGCTTGAACTTAATTAGTTAATTGAGTTTGAGCTAAAACTTAATTCTTCTAGTTCTAACCAGCTCGTGAGCCGGTTCATTTATAATAAAAGAGTGAATATAATTATAATTCAAATAATTATTCTAATAAAATTTAAAGAAAAAAGAGAAATTAGAAGATATATACTAAAGAAGTATATCATATAAGAAAGTAAGATACGATTTTTAAATATTTTTAATAGCTTAATGTTTGAACTCATGAATTTTAATATATTTTATATTAATATTTTATAAAAAGCTCGCTTGTGATCTAATGAGCTAAATTAAGGCTAATTCGAGCTGGGCTCGTTAGCTCATCAAGCTCTGCTCGGAATTCATTGATCAAGTTGAACTTGAGCCAGTTGATGCTGCGTCTATTTATTGATATGTTACCATTTGAAACTTTTTCTAAAAATCCTTCAACCCTCAACACCAATCTGCACCCAAAGCAGCTACTCCAAATGCTATAAAGAAAAAAAAAAGTTGATGATTACTCTAAATTTATTTAAATCTTTAATTAAAATTTTAGGCTTCAACCTTCATGAGAGAGGTTTTTTATTGCATTGTAAAGCAATTTTTTAGTTAAAATATTTTTAATTTAAAAAAAAATATACTAAAAATTTAGTTTAAGAGGATTTTCTTCAACTGCCGAATCCGTTCAGTATTTTATTTTTTTATTTTTTATCAAACAGCAAGCTTGATTATCTACAACTGTGACAGTGCAATCATCCACCAAAAAAATAAAATCCAAAAAAGCAATAGTTATACACAAAATCAATCATGGAAGCTGTATCTGCCATATATTTAATCCTCCTTTTACCCTCTTCATCATTGATTACAAGACCTGGCTTGGGGATAGCTTTGAAAACATTCAGATGGAGGATAGTATAAGCTTCAAATGTATGCAGTTGAGGTTCTTGAAGATGAACTGTGATAATCCCTGCAAATTTCAAGTCATTAAAACATACTTTGTGGGAACAGAACACTGAAATATTGTTTTCTGACATATGTTTCAGCAGCAAAAAATAAAATTTATTGATAGAAATAAGATTGCAAAGAGAACCAAATCAGAATGTGATATGGCAGAGGGAGGAGCAGCAGGAGCAGAGGGCGGCCTGGACCAACCCAACACCCAGCCGGCCGAACAAGCCTAGGGCTGGGCGGAACCGGGGGAGGATCAAAGGGGATTTCGGCCCCCTTTGTGAGCCCAAGAAAGTTGCAATTCATTATGTAATAAGGAGGATTCAAGGAAGAGATATTTAGAAAGTTTTAAGGAAGGTTACAATTATGTTAGTGTGTTAGGAAGAATTTAATTAAGGAGGTTTTAATTATGAATGTTTCAATTATGTTTATCATTTGTTATGGTTATTCAAGGGAGAGTTTGTCTACGGTTTGGAATTATGCTATTTCTTAGTTTTAGTTCTAGGGTTTGTCTAAGATTCCTAGTAGCGGCTAGGATTTGTGAGAGAATTTATCTTGAATTATTATTGAAAGAGAGATCCGAAAATCAGCCTTATTGAGTTCAACTATGATGAAAAGTTTCCATTAATCCATTCTGGATGAAAGCAAACAGTATCAAATACCTCATTTTCTCAGAGCATGAAGAGGATGCAAGCTCTGATTGGGGAAATGTACATTCTCATCTACAACTCTTCCATCTGAAACCAAGCAGCACTGGTTGGAGTCTATTGGCATGTGAATAACAGGTAGTTCTATGATTGGAAAAGTAAAAGGGACGACTGCTTCGACTTCATTCCCATCATTCACCTTCAAATTATCATTAATTTCACTGTAATCCAAATTTCTTAAAAGGTTAGGGATGGAAACATTGCCATCTGAGTCAGGTTTTCTACCCATTTCTAAATCCACAATCTCCTTCTGAAGAATGGTTTCTATGCTTTGCTTAGAAGTCATGGATTTCACCTGAACTTCTTCTTCAATCACCCATGATCTGAAGTTATTCAATGAAGGTGGGATTTTCGAGCAATAGACAGCTCCAAAGTTTTTCAGTATGCCCTTATTATATGGATTCTCCTTCTTGTCGTACTGATAGCGGAAGTTTTCATAAGTTGTCTGCAATATCTTACAAGTTAGGAAAAAAAAGAACTCGAAGCATGATCAATTGTAATGGCTGGAATCAACAGAAAGGTACAAAAGACAAGAGAATTACAAATTCATTTAGAAAAGATTTACCTGGTTTGTGCTGATTAAATAGATATGGAAAACTGTGAGTCCTCCAACAAACCAGACAGAAATAAAGGTGTACACTATGAGCACAAGTGACAAAACCTCCCCCTTCATGGATTCCCAAAGAGAATTGCCATAATATTTCTTCTCATAAATAACATTAATCCACGAAAAGGTGAAGACGTACACACAAAGAATGGTTGATAGTGAGATGAACAGAAAGAAAAAAGGGTAGTTACGCTGCATTTGTTCAAAAAAACTTCGTTAGTATCAAGAAAGCATGTACTACTATGTTGTTGAGTCTAACTATTGCCTCGCCAAAAAAAAAAAAAATTCACTATACAGTCACTTATCCAATACTTTGTGGGTTATTTCATTAAGGGCATATTTTGGATAGTATTTTCAGTGGCCAAAGATTTTTTTTTTAATATGTTGCATTACAGGAAAAAGGGATTCAATTCTCATCAATTAAACCATAATGATTTGTGTAGCAACAACAAGATGTAGCTAACAATTGGATGAAAACTTCTATAGTTTTTGTGTATTTTCTTTATTAGATTTAAACGATAATTTGACTTTTAACAGGACACAATGGAGAAAAAGGATTCATGTAGCCGACCCGATGTAGTGGGACGTAGTGGGACAAAGGCTTGATATTGTTGTTGTTGTTGTTTGTATTTTACACTGGTATTCTTATCTTCAGTCTATTTTTTGTTTTTCACTCTTCATTTGAATTAGATTTTGCCTATTTAATAGCATATACTGTCATTGCTCTCATCATTTGAATGTCAAAAGGAAGGCTTTTATTTCACGTTCAATAGATAAAAACTTGATTGTGTAAATATAAGTAACTTACCACACCGATGCACTGACCAACCCATGGGCAGTGGTGATCAAACTTCTGAACACAGTTGTTGCATATAGAACAGTGGGAAGCTCGAGGTGGGCGGTAGAGCAAACATGTATCGCAGTATTTCACTTTAACCATTAAACCATTCACCAATACATCCTTTGTGCGGGGTAATTTCAGATTTGGCAATGCACCACTGATCCACTCCATGGAAGAAGAGGTGGCATCAAATGCTTCATCTGGTTCTGGTGGTAGCTTATTTCTCGGCACAATACCAGGATCTGTCCCAGATGTCAGGAACAGGAAAACCAAATCCTGCAACATCAATGAAGAACATAAGTTGCTGAATTTAAGTATGAATAGAAAAGTAACTTGAGAGAGGAAATTAGATCATCACATACTGCTATGGAGATAAATAATCCCACAATCAACACCGGAAAACCAAGTGTATGATGGCGAGAAAAACCCACATGTTTGCTCTCATGCATTTCATGTTTACGGATCTTCTCAATTACTTGAAAACAGAACGCAAAAGATGGACCAGCTATTAGCAGTGTTGATAGGAACACTGAAGCTACATCTGGACCAAATATCAATCTCCCACCACAGAAAAATCTCTGAGAATAAGAGAAAGGAAGGGTTTCGTCAATATAAACATGATGGAATAAGGTTAAGAGTACTAATTCTTGATTTATTGGATACATGATATGCATTAGCAAAGTTGAGTGAAGGGAGAAGAATTTCTGAGCTGTTTAAAAAACATAAGTACTGCCATGCATCCAAATTTATTTTAAAAAAATCTAACTGAAACTTCACGAATGAAAATTTTAAGAAGGGTTCAAGAACTTCAAAATGTTCCACTGAGCAATCCTCCTTTCACCCTTTTATGCTCGCATGTCACCTCTTAGCCTTATTTGATTATATTAGTGATATTGTTTAGGTTAGAAATACATCACGAATCTTTAGCCTTATTTGATTATATTAGTGATATTATTATTATTATTATATACTTCTTACTATTAGAATGTTAAGAAATCATTTAATAATATATTAATTGGTTAGGATGTTAATATTTCATTTCTTACCTTCAATTTAACTTTACGCCATTTTTTTATTTAAACATTGATTGAAATAAATCAAAACATCTAGCTATAAATTGAGAAGCTGATTCAAAACCAATGGCATCACATATGTTTATTAAAGAAATGAAAAATACCTACAGGCTTTGTTATAAATCTCAACGCTATTCAGCTCATAGTACAGAACAAACTTACAATAAATGCACATCAAATGCATCCCATTATGAGGAAGAGGCAGATGCAGATAGCTCATTTCCTAACCTCTTTCTGGAAAATCGAAGGGGAAGTTGCAGAAAATATCTAATAATCTTCCAATTCAATATCTTAAAGAACATACAACCGCTATCGCATGATTTAAGTGGAAAAGGTTTCATATTTAATATACATTTGAAAAGAAAAATGTGACATGAATTTTAAGATCACCAAGAACAATTTAATCTCAGAAAATAAGAAATCAGCCAAATTTAGAGAGAGAATAGGGCGAGAACAAAAAAACGCACATTGCTTCCTTTCCAAGCTTGATAGAGCCTCTTGGGTTTAGAAGTCGCCATGCCTTGCGTGAGGAAATCGATCAAATTGGAGATGATGAAGTAAGATCCAATTGAGATCTTGACGAAAACTTTCCAAATTCAAATAAAGGACTTTCCTTTTAGTGTTAATTCGCAACGAGAGAGACGGGAAGAGTTGAGGAGGGAGCGAGAAGACGAGAAGAATGCCTCTATCAATCCCTCTATCTCACCTTGATTATTTCTGTTTCGTTCTTCCACTCCTTCAGATCAAAACAAGTTGCCCCTGCGCATTCTCTCTCTCTCTCTCTCATCCCTCCTTGTCAGGATCGAAACGATAGAGAGAGAAGGGGCGCCCTCTTTCTCTCTCCTCCGATGGAGAAACCTGTCGATTACAGATAGCTCGGGCGGCATCTCTGCATTTCAAGCGGGTTTTTCGCTTGCAAAAAGAGCAGAAGACGTGCTTCCCTAACGGCTTCATGGAACCCAAATTTGGTGAGAAACAGGACTGCATTTAGTTGCCCTCCTTTTATTTTATTCGGAGGAATTATTTAGAACATGGCTCATCTTTAAATTATAAAATTAATATTGAAATTAGCAAAAAAAAAAAGCTTTTAATTTTCTAATAATATTATTTATGAATTTATTCTTCATTTGAGATGATTTTTTTTATTATTTTTTAAAACATAAACGAAGCCTTAATCTCTTCATAATTTGTAATGTTACTGTCCAAATTAACCTTCAAAGTTTCCACAAATTTTTATTTTTGAAAATTATTTGTAGCAAATGATTACTTTTAAAATAAGAACATTGCAATATAAAAATAAAGGGTGATTATCACTATTGTCAATGATATCAAATTTGTAAAGTTGTATAGATCATTTATTATAAATAAATAATTAATTAATTTTTATAATACATAAAATAATAAATGAAGAATATAATTTATGTAATTTAGCACAGAATTGGTTTTATGTTCAAATGCTGAAATGATTTGAACAAACGAGAACTAATTTTCTTCTAAAGCCTAAATGCTTGAGATGTATTTGCATGCTACGAATTTGAGACAAAGGAAATTAAAATCATAATCAGCTAATATCACTTTGCTCCAATCCCAACAAAGCTTTGACAAAAGACGAAGATGAAATCTTTCAGTTGGTTTCTTCATGAATTTTTTTATTCACTATGCATGAATTACATTTGCATTTCACTGTAATTTCAAAATACATAAAAGTTTTTACATGCATGATATACAACAGCAGAACTTACAGCATTGTAGCTATAATAACATTCACATTGCAGACCTGTAAGATGTGGAATCAAGTAATAAATCAAATGAAGTTAAGGAGTGTGGGTCAAGAATAATATCCATACTCGTTCCAGCATTCGGAAGGATACTGGAAACTGGCACCACCTGCAAAATCAAGCATAGCAAGATTTTTCAAATTCATAGAAAGATATTTATTTTCATAATAAATTTTGATATTTAGTACCTAATCCAACATAAACTGTATAGGTTTTAACGTTTATCATTGCATAAGTTGAGCATTGAATATGTTTTAAATGAAATTATCTAAGTCAGATCTTATGGCTAGCTTGCTTGTCTGACTTCCAGTTAATTTCCTATGGATTCAGATTCTCTAGATTATCTGGTGCACTTGTCGATTTTAACTAGGTTAATTTGGGACTAAATATATTTAATTAGTTAAATATTGGTTAGCATTTAATTTTCGTAATAAATCATGAGATAATTAAACGATTAGTTAATTGTTAGTCGGAGTAATTAGTAAATAACGAGTTAAGTAGGCTTGGGAGAGATCAGTTAAGGTTTAAGCATAAGTCATTAATATATTATTACTATTTATTTGTTGTAATTAAGTTTAGGATAATTAATTATTTCATAATTAACTAGAGTAATTAGTAATTAACTATTTACTTAAGCTATTTAAGGAGTTAATTACAGTTTAATTAGTAGTGCTTAATTATAGTATTTAGACATGAAATAAGCATTCAAGAAATCAATTAGCCATATTAATTGATAATTAAACATCGGTTAAGGTTAATTATGAATTCATTAAAATATAATTAAAGTTATTAAGGTTTAAGTGGATTGCAGCTGATCCACGTGATTTGAATAAGGGAAATCATATGAACAAGGTTGTGGTAGTGTTCAATGCCGCTTATTTAAGGCTAGTTAATCGAAAATAACTAATTACAATACTAAGCAAACTGAGAAGCTATTAAACTATTATTTATTATGGAAAATTTGGATTTATAGGGACTTAAATAAGTTCTAACCAGGGTAAAGAAAACATAGATTGACTAATCATAAATAAAAAAGCTAATTATCGTAAATAAATACAATTAATTACTGTTTTGATTCTTAGTTGTTAAAATGCTTTCTATTTTCTCTTTCTACTAATAAGAAATAAGTGAATCATTCATACATGTTTTTTTTAAGTGATAATAAAAAATAAAAAAAATAAAGAAGGAGACAATTACTTACATAGCATCAAAATTTTATCTATTTATAAAATACACCCAACTACCTTTATTTACAACAATACCACTCAAATCTCGAAAAGAGAAGAAAAAAAAAAGCTCAATTTATATTTTTCACTTTCATTAAATTCTTAATAACTTAACTATAGAATGAATAAACACATGACTTTGATAGTTTCATTTTAAAAACTTAGGCTTCGTTTGAGATAATTTTTTATTGCTTTTTCAAATAACTTTTTAGTACAAAAATTAAAAATATTGTACTAAAGAGTTGCTTCAAAAAACAGTAAGAAATTTGTCCCAAATGAAACCTTAGTTGCTAGTTTTATAACTCAAAAAAATATTCGAAGTCATGTCAGTAAATCTCCCCTAAAACAAATAAAAACAAGGTCTAAGGTTTTAGCTGATAATGTACCTTTGTTGGTTCATTAAAGGAGTTCTCGTCCATAGAATTCTGGGAAGTTAGTACAGTCTTCTTTGATCCAAATGAATCGATGGCATATTGCAATCCATTCAAAACAATTTTGATATTCGTAACATCATTGCCAAAATTGACAATCTGCATAAAATGAACTTCACAGGTTATGCCATTCTGCGCATTCCAGGGATTAAAAAGTAGACTGAATGAAGTAGCTATGACCTTCACTCTCAGGTAAGTCTTCCTGTCTTCTGAACTCTGCCAGGTAATTGCAGACGCAGCCAAAGAAGCAGCAGTACTGCTTTGGAGAATGGAGGGGTGGAAGACTGCACCGCTTGATTCTTTAAAGAAATGTTGCATCCAGTAGGTGGGAGTACCATATTGTTGCCATGAGTTAAAGACTATGGCATCCGGGTTAAAGCTTCATCACGCAAGAGGTTACATTCGTAATTTAAAGATTAAAGCAAAGAAATGTATATAAAATCATCCAATTGATGATTATATCTTGTTGTTGTTCATGCAGATTTCATTGAAATTTAGACTTAGTTTGGTTATCCGGCACTATTTGTAAAAAATAGTTTTAGAAACATTGGTTAAGAGAATGAGCTTTCCAACAGAGAAACAAATATCAAAAAGCTTATGAAAACAATAGAAAAATGAAGTTCCCTAAAAAGCATTTCTGTAGAAGCGTCTCATCCAAACAGCGACCAAAAAATGATTTCGCCGTTTCCAAACAAAAAGGGGAAAAAACGTCCTCTCAAACGAGGCCTTAATTATAAATAATTACTTCTCTAATTCATCTCATAGAAAATAAAGCAAGCAACAAAAGAATACAATAAATTTAAAAAATGCCCTCAATAAAGCAAAATGCCCTTAAAACTAAATTTAGTTAGCATGTTTTCTTCGTAAGATAAAAATGATGTTCCACAACTTAACACTAAGAACTAACATAATCATAGAATATGTGCCACTACACCAGTTTAGAGACAGCAAGGAAAAAAAATTGTACTGCATTCAGGAAATAAAATGCCAGTTTGAAGTAATAATTCAACCAAATGCATCACCATTATCATGAACATAATAGAAATCAAATATCGAGTGATAAAACAAAAACAATAAATAGCGAAACTCATAAGATAGAAAATAATTTCATGAAAGAAGAATACCTGCGATCATTGTCATTTACGAAAAGCGGAGCACAACTTGCCATGTAAACCACGTCACTGCATGCAAATAGTGATAAGCTAAAAAAATGAATAACAATAATCGAACGAGCACCAAATTGCAATCTTTGAAAACTAAATCTTTTTTATTTTTTATTTTTTTGGGACTGTATAGTTGAATTCTATGCACTTTGCGCTCTCAAACGCACTGTGCTTCGTTTAATTTTATCTCATCTAAACAATGTAATGCTACCTAGAAAGATCAGCGATAATGATGGTATGTCTTTTTTGCTTTCATTAATTTTAATCATTAAATGGCCTGATATTTAGATGCTAGCAGAGTTAGCCGATATATAGATGCCATCAATATAAGACTTTAATGTCATTTACGAAATTTAATTTAAAGATCAGTGAAACAAACGATTGATATGTTCTAATAACATGATATCATATAGCAGATGTAAGTGAACTAAAATATCCAATAGCCTCTTATCAATCTCTTGAAGAGAGAAATCTCAAATTATAACTTGTAGCAAACCAAGACTTGATTGGCTGAAATCACTGAATAATTAGGATGAAAATTTTCCTGATTTTAACAGTTGAAGTACCATTTGTTGATCTTTAACATTAATAGCCTGATCGCCCTGTTATAGTACTACCCTATTGACATCATGCACATGCACTGTAATAGTCCAAACTCTTAACTATCAATATATTGTCCGCTTTGACCTAAAGGCCTCAAGGTTTTGTCTTGTTGGTGTAACTTCCCAGTAGGTCACCCATCCCAGAATTGCTCCGGGATGAGCACGCTAAACTTCAGAGTTTCTTGAATGAAATTCCAACCATTACACCAAAAAGTGCCTCGATGTTTAAAAGTTTAGCTTCTTTTACTTAAGGGGTTTCACAATGTATTGCTTTTAATAGTGAAAGCCTAATATGAATGTATAAAACTAAATACCTCGTTTAACTTCAATGAGTGTTGATTTTGAGAGGTTATGCTGTTAGTAGTGAACCTTTCTTGTAATAAACCTTATGATTACTGAACAAATCATTTGGGAAAAAGAAGAACGTAAATCAAGGTAATAAACGCCTACACTTGCTGGTATGAATGAAAGGTGTGATATATGACGAAAAGCACATAAGAGAGAACGTGGTTGCTGAGTGATGTAGCTTGCGAGAGTTTTAGGGTGATGTGAGGGGTAGTTGCAGCGGGGTCCTGTGTAAGGTCTCATATGGAGTGATGGGATGGCAAGTGAAGATGCGTAGAGCTGGAATCGTGAACTAGAGAGGAGTTGATGCACAGGCAAAGCAGATGTGAGAGTCAAATGCTATCTTTGTAGGAATGTTCAAATATCAAAATCTAGGGGAGATCAAGTAGGTGATTGGTTCGACAATTGCAAGCAATGGGATTGCTGAGCAAAATATGTAAAGGAAGCGAAAAACATGACAATAGTTTGCAAATGGATTCCCAAGTTAAGTTCTAATCCAGGCTAAAACTTGCCAAAAACTGATTTTCCCATATCAGACCCAGAATGGCCATTGATCAACAAAAAACTAACAGCAAAATGCAATTCAAAAGTGTTGTATAAGTATGTTTTTGAGCGCCGAAACACTCAAGGTATAGCAAGTCAAAAAATGGTCAATATCCTCAAGGAAAAGTTAAATCACCTATTTTTTTCCAATCCAATAAGAAAGCCGGCTTCTGCTAACGCTGCTAAAAGGTTTCCTCTCCCAGCATCTCTTCCAGTCACAGCATACTCACTAACAAAAGCCTGAGAATAAAAAGAACCAACCGTCTACAAAATTACATACTAGGGCTTCTTGAAAATTGACAGGATACTTAGCCTTCAATTCACCTTACCTTGGGACCAGTACGCTTTAAGCGATCAAATTGATAAACCCTAGAAAACATGTCTGAAGCAGAGGTGTAAACCTAGCAAGTAACCAGGATCATAATAGTCTGTTTGCCTACTTATGTTGCACACAATGCAGTGAAGAAAGTGAGATTAGTCTTACAAACTTCAGAACAGGGCACTATCCACATTCTTACATGAATATCATACAGATCAGCAGGATGATCAAGTTCTTGAGAAGAAGCATCGCAGTTTGTAATAATTTTGATATCCGGATAGGCAGCTTTTACGAGAGAGTGAAACTTCAGGTAGTTTCCTGTCCATACGAAGTCAATGTGCATATGATACTATATAAAAAAATAAAAATAAAAAATTTATCTTTCGAAGAACAAATGAAATGACTCCTAGGTTAGGTTTTCATCCACTAAAACAGAGACAAAACTATCATCATCGCAAATGAAGTTTCGGAGAGCCAAATAGTACTTACACAATGATGTGCCGCCAGCCCAGCCCAGGAGGGGCCGGCTGGACCGGTCCATGTTTATTCAAGGCGAAACAGAGAGAAGGGAGGGGGGGATCTAGAGGTGGGCCAGGCTTGGCTTAATTCATCTTAGGAGGGAAAATTTGAATGTGGGGGGCTGTTTTAGGAAGTTTTTAATTGTCCTTTGTGTTTAATTAGGAGATTGCGGGGGAATTTGTTTCTCATCTTGAATTTGAATGAAAATTTGAGATCTAGGGTTTTCTTTCTTTTGGACTCTTGGCATCGCCGGAGATTGGAGAGTGGTTCTTCCTCTCGGATTGAAGAACAATTGTATCTTTGATGTTTTAATTCTTCTACTAGTGGAATACAAGCGTTTGTTTGGTTTTCTCCCAGATTTCCCTTTGTATTTCTCTGTTTTGGTGCTGTGTTCTACTGTCAACAGCAGAATTTCTGCGATTTTCTCATCCTTTGGTAGAAGTCTTGCTTGCAAACTCAAGTATTACCTTAGGGTTACTTGAGGACTCAAGTATTTCCTATCAAATTGGTATCAGAGCGTCTTTTTTGGGACCGTTGGTGGCTAAATTCCTGCGATTTCACCCGGGAAGAAGGTAGAAGTCTTGGAAGGCGAAGTCGAACAATTGAAATCCGATTTGGAGGGAAGATTTTTTTATTTTCAAAATCAAATCACCACCAACAATGAAAAGTTGGAGAGAAGTTCACTGTCATGGAAGAAATGCTTAAAAGTTACTGGAGATGAAGACAAATCCGACGACGTCGGAAGTAAGAGAGACTATCGAAGGCCATGTCCGGGGAGGAAATCCAAACCCTTTTAGGGGGAGGAGAAATCGGAAGTGAAGGTCACTAAGGGGGAGGACGACATGCCGCCTCTAGAGCCACTTTCTAGAGAAGAGATGAGCTTGGGGAATGATCGGAGGGGTGCTGATTTCATCGGAAGAAAGGGAGGAATTCCATCGGCGAGGGGCTGATTTTGAAGGGAGAAGAGAAGAATATGACGAAGGGTTCGGGTATAATCGCCGGAGGGAAGATCGTGACAGTTGGGGAGCACCTCATCTCCGAGGGATGGGAGGGTATGGAGGATTCAGGGGACACGAGGGAGACCCACGGGTGAGGAAGTTGAAGATGCTCGTCTTTGAGGGTGAAGACGGCCATTGCTGGATCTACAAAGTGGAGTGTTACTTCGCTGTCAACGGGTTGACAGAGGATGAAAAGTTGACAACGACGGGTTTGTGTCTAGAAGGAAAAACTTTGGCATGGTATCAGTGGCGTGACAGGAAGGAGCCCATTCGGAGCTGGAGAGAATTCAAATATTGCTTATTAGAGCGTTTCCAAGCCGATGGGGGAGGAGACTTCTATGAGCAATTTTTTGCCTCGACTCAGGAGGGGACTGTGGCAGATTATCGGGACCGGTTTGAGTACTTGGCTAGCAGATTAGATCACATTTCAGAGTCAGCCTTGGAAGGGAACTTCATGAAGGGGCTGAAACCAGAGATCCTAACAGTAATCAGGGTGCTGGAGCCGAGGAACCTGGGAAAGGCTATGGAGCTGATGCAGTTGGTGGAAGATCAAAAAAGATCAGAAAGAGGAGCTCGATTGAACTATTCTGGGGGGTCATACAAGATGACTACCACCTTCTTACCATCGAAAGGGGGAGCACCAGGGGGACAGAAGGAAGCACCCAAGGAGAATACTAGAGGGGGAAATGGGGGATAGTTCAAAAAGTTGACAGAAAAAGAGATGCAGGATAAGAGAGCAAAGGGGTTGTGCTTCAGATGTGATGAGAAGTACATGCTGGGGCACAGGTGCAAGGACCGAACTCTTCAGGTTCTCCTTGTCTGTGAAGATGAGGAAGATGAGGGAGGTGGGAGCAGAACTGAGGAGGAGAGAGAGAGAGAGAGAGCCTTTGGCATACTCAAGGAGAAAGACTAAGTGGTCTATGTTGTTAGATTTGAAACCTAGTTTCATCTGTCAAGAAATCTTGCAATGAGTGTACGAAAGATAGAACCGCACAAGAGAAGATGTGTAAGTTTCATTTTAATCATAACAAGTGAAGGTGTTATACATCAATAAGGTCATCGAGGGTTTTTAATCAACTTTATCATAGAAGGTTGCTCTAAAATCCTCCTCTTGTTAAAGAGCAATTGCTTGTAATCTCTAGTGGTCTGGAGAAGTCAAACATATAATTATATTATATTGTATAACATAATGCAGTTTGCTTAGGAATGGTCTGATGGTTTTTCACATAAAAATATTGTGCTCTCTATGTTGGCATTCTTCATTTGTTTCTCAAATCATAATAGAAGTCTAGCTAGCAGAATTAGTATCTTGATATAAGTATTAAGGCAACAAAATTCAAATTTTCATTGAAACATAAATCTCTTCTGCAAGAAAGTTAATCTTGGCATCAAGAGTATATGCATATAATTTGAGTTAATTTAGCTTTCAAAACAAAAAAAATTAAGGTAATCCTTGAATAGAAGCTAAACCATAGGTAAAACTACAAAATTAAAAATTATATCAAGTAATGTTTCACTTTATATGCAAAATCTCACATAATGTAACAACATTTTGAAGCAATTATTACCACTAAACAAAGATAAAGATAAAAAGGACAAAATAGTCTCCAAACTATTTATAGAGGGTCATTTTAGTCCTAGAATATCTTATGTGTTCAATTTAGTCATTAGTGTTAGACTATCTAATAAGTCATCAAATCTAATCCGAAATAGCCTCTTCACTTCTCAAATTTAATCCAAAATAATTTCATAGAGGAACTATTTTGGATCATATTTGAGAAATCAATAGACTAAAACAAATTTATAGTCTGGGATAAAAATAATCTCTTGCAAAGAGACTGACCCATTTGATATTTTTCTCTGAAATTAAATATGCACCTCGATAATTTTGTTTGAAACAATCCTGGTTCCCAACTGCAATTAAGTTCAGTTGAAATGGCTCTGGATGTCCCATTGATGTTCGAACAGAGCCCCAATTTGAATATGAATCTCCCCTAGCAAACTCAATACCATCAAGAGTATCCTGCAAAAAGGAAACAATATAAGAATACAGGCACATCATGACCAATGTAAGTAATGACCTAGAGCTACATCAATGCAGTTGAAGTTCAATAAATTATTATGTAAGCAAGCAATAAAAGTGCAGATGTGTTAGATCTCATTTTTTTTTAATCCAGAGCATGATATTTTATGCCATAATATATATTTAGGATAGATTGAATAGATTGAAAAGGGGGGAAAAGTATAATATTCTGTTCCAAAAAATTAAGATCCTTCCCATCAATGCCATAGGTAGAAATAACATCACATTTTTCGGTGAAAAAGCTTAATAAAATGAAAAAAAATTAATTCTTTTAATGATAATGAAACAAGTTTACTCTCCAAGTTGGTAAACGGTGAAGTATTGTTTGATTAGCAAGGCACAATGTTATCTTCTTATGTTGCTAAAACTACAAAGTAAAGAATAAATATCAGGCCAATAAACTATACTAATTCTAGTTAGTGAATCTCTACGATATATGATTCTCATTGGCTTGATAAACAGAGTAATGTCAGTCAGAGATCTAAAATATTATATTGTGATAATGAGTTTGAATTTTCAAAAAGAAAAATAATGATTTGTAAAGCCGACTCTAAATAATTGGGATAAGGCTAATGTTGATCAGAATTGTGAATTTTGAATTGTACTCAATCAGTTCACTCAACTAAAGATTACATTTCAAATTCATGTGATGAGTGGCCTATTCCTAAGGCTTTTGTTATCATATTCCTAAGGTGGTTGTTTTCCTATTATATCCTATCACTGAATGAGGTTTGTGGATTTTCTTCAAGCAGGCTGCTCGTTTTTTGTTCCTTCAGTTTTGCTTCTTGCGGATTGGTACTTCTTGTAGGCGTGCTACTAGTGGGTAGTTAATGTAACTCTTTTGGAACTTCTGCGATTCAGGGCTTCTTACTGGTGGTTAATGTAAATTCTTGTAGTACTGCTTGCAAAAAGGTTCTGCTGAGAGACATGAAACATCCTTGGTGATCCAATCTCCTTCTTAAAACATGAGGCTTGCCTATCTATTACTTGTTTCCATCTCCTTCTTCCCCTGTTTCGCTTTCTCCCTATTCTTTTCTTCAATTATTCTTGATTGAAAATGTGATTGGTTTCTTTCAGATTTACTACAACCATAAATTTCCATCGAACTAAATTTTAACTGCTGGCTTTCATCATCTTTAATGTTCTGTTATTAATTTCTAACAGAAAGACAAGGTCATTCACTTAACTTGCATTCTAACCATTCTAAATTTTCATCAGAAATGGTAAACAGCTGTTCGAGATAAACAGTTTTCTTTTCTGTAAAAGTTGCATGTTTTTTCCCAAGCGACTGTACTATTGCTAGAACTACATTAGAAAACCTAAACCATCCTACATTAGAAAAAAATGTGTTTTCGTTTTTTTTGGGTCAAGAAATTATGAATAGTAGTGCTTGCAAAATTTTCTGAAGTTCACCGAGATTAAACTTCACATCTATGCATAATATGATTACTTTTTTACTCTTATAAACACATGTACGAAAGAAATTTCATTTCATTTCCTGAATTTTGTATAGAATCTGAACTCATATTCAGTTTAATAGATGCTCATCTTCCCTGTGCCATTTTTCTCTATATTGCCATGCAAGCTTATATAGATCCCTAGCTAACCTATATTGATGAAGAATAAAATAAAATCAAGTGCTAGGAACTTAAAAAGATTAGAGGAAAGCAAAAAAAGAATGATTTTACAGCATACCTTGACAAAAGGTAAAATGTCGGACGAATCAACTTGATCATGATGGCTGATCCCTATAACAAGAACAGAGGCAAAATAAATTGTTTTGTATAGCCATTACAGCACTTCATTATACAGCTTCCATCGGCAGATAAATACCGTTATTGATCACCCAAATAGGGGATGCACCTATATCCTCTGCAAGCTATTGTATATTATAATCAGTTGAACAAACTTCCGAAGAAAATTTAAGAAAAATAAAACAATCTACACACACACTCAAATATGAAACATACTTGAAGAAATTCAAAATATCCTAGTCCATCATCCGTCCAGTACTTCCAAACATCACCAAAGTGACCAGGCCTCTCTTCCCATGGACCAACTGTCTCTCTCCATCGAAATGCATTTCTTAGCCACTCTCCCTCAACAAAAGATCCACCTACAGAAACACAATATGTAATTAACTTGTCTACAGTAACGATTTAAAGCGCATGAAGTGATCATATAGAAGTTGCTAATTGCTATGCAGACAGAATGATTGTCATGAAAACCTTCACTACTTAAAATGCATCTTCTTATAAAAAAGACAAGCCAAATTAATGTTACGAGTGACAGCATTTTTAGCTAACCATACTTATTTCCAAGTATTTATTTAAAGGGGAATTTACATGCAAACTATCAAATTATTTATAGTGGAAATTCATATGTGGGATTCACACCGCTCTTTCATCAATCAATCTATGTGCTCTAATTAATTAAGCAAAGGATAATTATCCACCTTAACAATTCATGTGCTCCTCTAGTTGTTCATGTTTTGATTACCATTAATTATGTTTCAATTAGCCCTTGATTTTAGGACTATTAATTGAGTCTACTTAGCACCTATAAATATGTCATAATTTTGTAGGTTGAGAAAAGAGATAAGATTCAAGTTCCTCATCTACTATTCTTTCATTTTCACATGATATCAAAGGCTAAGTATTGTATTGGATCGCTTGTAGTTCGCTTGAAAAACTCATGAAGATCCAAAAGGATGTCGTCATCGATGAAATCATTAAGATCCAAAAGGATGTCGTCATCCATAAGGATCTTGTCGCCATCATCATTCGACCCATGAAAAGATCCCTTGAGGATCCGCAGCTTGCTCGCCCTTAGCTTTCAAATCTCACTCAAAAGCTTAGTTTTCGCAACTCGCACACATTGTAAAGACCTTCATCGTGACCAAGCAAAAGGTGAACCGATTCATATCTACAGGGTCACCGTGCAGCACGCCTCATCTCTACAGAACGAGACTCTCACCTTTGACTATTTGTTCTCACCCCGATTAGTTTAAGATGCCCACCCTCGAACATTCAGCCTCACCCTTAACATCACAATCTAGTTAGGTCGCATGCATGACACTCGCATGATGCAAATAAACATGTAGCACGCCTTGTTTACATGTGGACCACCACATTCATATTAACCTCAAGTATGCCCTTCTTACGTAGCATTTGCCCCGCACACAACGCAACCCTTGCAATCAACTATATTCAGGTCATACAGCACGACACTTTCAGGAAACGTCCTATCATTAACATAATGTATTAAAAAAATTATGTCATGATTATTCAACAAGTTTTACGCTACCTATCGACTACCTAACACAACCCTCTAATTTCTCATCCAAGACTTGGGACCTAGCAATGATAGTGTTATCATTTTATAAGTCCACCTAATTTTATTTTTAATCATCATATCTTCAATAAATGTCACTCCAACCTTTACTCTAATATAATAATTATTTGATTTACATCTTCCTAATTATGCCACACATATATCTTAGCCTCATGTTTATATCACTTAACTTAGATTTCAATAAATTTACCTTTAAAATTCCCTAAATACTTCTCTATTTTAACTATAGAACCTTTAGAAGTAATATACACGTCTATATTTCTATTCCATTGTATAATATATCCAAGGCTTCAAGTTTTCTAGCTGAGATCCAAGCTGTTATCTTATATTTTACTAATATTGAATGATAATTATTAACATCATACCAATTTAAATTATATATCATATAGTCAGTCTAGTTTTGTTCTATCTAAACCAGTCAAACATTGAATGGGTTAGTCTCAAACCCGATAGTCAGATCAGCAACATAAAATGGCTTGATTCATATCTTTAAGAACTAAGCATAAAAATTCCATTTCAAACCTGGAAATCTAAGAAACCGAGGCTTCAAATTTTCTAGCATAGAGCCAAGGTCCTTCCTAAATCCATGTCCCTGCAAAAAAAATTTTGAATCGCAATTTGCACAAAGCAAAAAAAATATTATGGCTTTTGATAAAATATATAGTAATACAGAATATCAACTACCTCCAAGAGCAACAAACATGTTCTCTGTCACTAAATATATATACATGTACATGCACCCTAGCCTGCTATTGAATCCTTTTATATGATTAATGGAAATATATTTCTTATTTCTAGAAGTCAGTCCTTTAATATAACAGCAGATGTTTATTCTTTAGAAATATTTCTGGGGCATCTGAATATGTAGGATAATTTACATCAGTGCTATAAATATAATAGCAAGTTAGAACAGTGAGAAAAACCTTGAAATATATCATAGAAAATAGTTAGGTTCTAAGGATTTTTTTTGTGAAAAAAAATATATTTTTTGAATTTTTATTTCGAAAAAACTGTTCATAATGTCTTTTGCAGCTTCTTTAAGTGAAATTGGGTAGAAATTACAATTTCAAATAACGAGGATAGGATAATACAGAGCTTCTCAAGAACTAAAAATTTTCAGAGAAAAATGCATAGCTATTTGGTGTATGTTATGGAAAACGGGTTACCTTGTAGGTGTCCATAGGCATGACTGACACTTGATCAAACCAATATACACCTTTCTTTGTTGTTGTTATTTCAAGTCTTGCATTAGCATTTGTTCCTTTAGATTCCAATATGAGCTCCACCTTAGTCCAATAAGACGTCTTAGATGTGTCAACACTACAAAAACAACCCTCTCATCATTCATCCAAGAAAATAAACGTGGAATTAAATTATTTATCCAATTGTGACTTTAAGGCGTAAAGAATTTTAAAACAAAAGAAAGGGATAAACCTAATGGTATCTGCCGCAAGGTTAGTCAATCCATCTGAACTTTTCAGTGAAACCAAAATGATCGCATTATCCTTTGACATAACATACATGACCACCTTATATTTATTTCCTTCTTCAACATGCTGGAACACCCAAAACAAAAATAAAAAGTAATAGAGATGAATGCATAACCAAAGAGTGCAGTAACATATAGAATAAGGTTTATGATACATATCAAATATTAAAATTACTAAAATCTTGTAAACTAATTAGAACTTCGAAGGTATCCAATAGGTAGGTACACATTTATGTTTCGTTTGGGACAGCTTTTTTATTGCTTCATAAAGCAACTTTCTAGTACAAAAATTTATTTTTTATACATAAAAGTTGCTTTAAGAAGCAAAAAGAAAGTCATCTCAAACAAAGCCTTAAACTAAAAGTAGTTTTATCATTATTTAGCTTAAACATACCATGCCCCAGTAACCAGGATTATACACCCCAACACCACCCTCTGGGCAGCTATAAGGTCCACAATCATCACAAAGCACTTCCATCCTTAGTGCAACCTTATTTCGACAAAAACACGATGACCCGTCCGTCGACAAAAAAATGGATGATTCATTACCAATTGTAGACCATGGATCGATGTTTGAAGGAGTGACGGGACCACCAGCTTCAAATCCTGAAATCAAAATCATGTGCAGTTAGATATAAGAAACAAAATAGACCATTGAAGAAGGGCCAAAAAACAGGAAGAAACTTAAAAAATCAACTGCAGTCAATCCTACTCTTGATTATAAGGAGCAGAGTCAGTCACTCAGCTCACCTCTATTGCTTACAAGCTCTGCCCACAATCCACCAGCTCCAGCATGATTAATCTCCTGCACATATACTTCAAGTCATTAATATATCTAGGATTTAATCTAAATTAATAATGATCATTCTAGCATATATTATCAGTTTAAATAAGGAATAACTAGCTTAAAACAAATCCAATCTTTATGGACTCCAAAATAGAATGATCAAAGAACATCCAATATACTAAGGCTCGCTTTGGTTTAAAGGCATTGAAAGAGATGAAATGTGACTTAAAATGGAAATTTAAATGGCAAAGGGATTAAAGTGTAATTAATTTCCGCCCACTTGTTTGGTTAAGGAAAAAATTAGCAGAAAAGTAGTTTCACTTATTTGTATCTTTGGAAGGAATATTGAATTAACACTTTAATGTCACTTCAGTTTTCATTGGGTTTAAGCAGATGATCATAAACAGAAATACGCATGTGTACTAATTTCTTTAGTAAAATCGATTTCTTATGAATTAGGCCTAACTGTGAGGTAAATGATATTTCCATTTCACTCGATTCTTTCAAACCAAACACAACCTAATGGGCTATTTGGCCACAGCTAGGATTTAACTCAAATAGAATTTAGTAAATCATATTTAGTAAATCTTGAGAGGATTAAAACCTAAAAATTGTTCGGTATGACAACCATTAAATTTTGTAAAATCATGATAAATTATTTAGCTATTTATTTTTGGATTTAAGATTTATAAGAGGAAGAAATCCTTAAATCACTTAAATTATGTGAATGATGGGATTTGATAAATTTTATATTAAACCAATAATTGGATTGAAACTGGATTTATCAAAGCTGTAAGATGAAAAATTCGCAATTTCCTGTTTGGCGGGATAAGCTAAACTAAATCCTGCCTAAAATAGGATACCAAACAGCCCCTGCATGTCCAAGTAATTCTCTAGTTCCAAGTTTTAACTATAAATCATTTTGTAAGATATAAATAAATATCATAATGGAATAGTAATCCTACAACATCTCCCTCAATCCAATGAGGGCCATCCTATCTTAAACTTGAATTCCATGAAGGTGATTAAGAATTCATAAAGCAATTTTAACAAACCAAATAACAAGATACTAATAAGAGCATCAAATTTACCTCAAAAAAGATGCCAAACAAGTTGTCGGGCATCTTCCGCCCAGATTCGGCCGACGCATAGACAACTAAAGAGGCCGTCTGATTTGCCTCGAACTCCATCGCATAAGTCAGGCATGAAAAGCATAGTAGAGTCCAGAAAAAAGATACAATTTCAAAAAATTCCCCTTTAACTCCCATTTTGCTTTTGCTGCATCCAACGTACAAAATTAAAGTGAGAATTGCAAGAGAAAACACAGACATATCCTGCATATATTCAAATCGTTTGCATAAGCTCGACGTAGGAGGTAACCTTTGCTAATACGACAAGAAAGAGGGTTTATCTAGGGTTTTCGTATCAGCTTGCGCCACGGGGACGGAGACGAAAACCCTCGCAGCCGTCACTGTAAGGTACAAGTGACCGACGACTTCTGCACCGTTGGATCATGTTAGGAAGACGATTAAGTCGTCGGAGATTGATGGCCATGGCGATTGGCATCACTCAATCGAGCTTACACAAATCTTACCGAATTTGGAATAGATTACAATAATATAAGACATACTATTATTTTCTGATTACTTCTCTTCCATTGCTAATTTCTTTATCATAGAAATTGAATTGTAAATTTGTATATTAAATTTATTGCATTTTAGAAATTCATTTTGTAGATAGAGATATTGATCATCTTAATTTTAATATATATTTCATATTGAAGTAAAATAACAGATGATGCATGATTGTTTATGTAAAATTTTTGATAAAAATTATATAAAAATCATAGAAGTTATCTAGTTTAATAGTTTTGCTAGTAGTTCATATTATAAATAAAATTAATTTGATGGTTGGTATCATCAATGTTAGTGTAGATCACTAGAGGTAGTTAAATCAATCATTCTCCTTAGATGTGGAAATGGCACGATGTGAAGGCAACGATAGAGTGGCATGTTTAATATGAAGTATGCAGTGAAAAGTCTTAACAGTGCAAAGTTACCCTTATTTTTTGGTAATTAAAATATAAATTTAATTTAAAAAATTAGAATAACTTCATATATTTTAAAATCTAATATAGTCATATTGTGACCTACATCAATCCGAATAGCTAACTGAACAAGGTCGACATCTAAAAGTGGCTCGAAACGACAAAAAAATCCTCTCTCTTACCAAAATCATTCTCACTCTCTACTTCTGCTATTAATGTGAACGACTAAATGTAATAGTGGAAAAAAATTTATATTTAAGCGTAGAAATTTTCCCAGCATCTAGGTGTCACTATTACTACGCCAAGATGCTAGAATACCCAACACATAGGCATTCTAGGAAAACAATTCTAGATTTCACTAATATGCATTCAAATAGATATGCAAACCTTTTTCATACACACAAAAACACTTCGAAACACATACAAAAGAGTTCAAAACACGTAAGTTTAAACATTTACCTTCTTCAAATTTGGTAAAATATGTTAAACTAAATGTTGAACCTAGAGGTATTACAACTTGCAACCAACAACCTTGCTGATGTTGTCAGCGACTTATATGACGGATCTTGGATCGCATGAGAGAGAGGCGAGTGAGATGTTGTCACGGGAAAGAAGAGGCCTCACAGCAAGATGAACTAGATTATGTATTCATATTTTGAACAAATGAATGTAGATTTTTACAACTTTTATATTTTTTGGAATTAGCAGCTCTCGTTCTTGCTATATGTGGATGAGGTAATTACTTATATGATTAAGTAAGTTTAATCATTTCTTTTGGATCTTAGGGCATCATAATTAATATTCACATAAGTTAATGGAGTTAAATAAATCTAGTATTCCCCTTAGATGTGGAAATGGCATCATGTGAAGGCCATAGTGACGGTGGCACAAGAAGCTTATGGAGTGTTACGCCACAAGATCAAATTTAGAAGAATTGTCTAATTTAATCACTTAAATAATCAACCATATGAATTTATTAATAAATTAATCGAATAGAAAAAAACTAAAATCATATACATCAAAATATTTCAATATTCGTTCTCCAATATTTTATTTATAATAGTCAATATATCACTTACAATCATTAATCCATCATAGCTCCTTACTATAAAAGAATAAAAAAAGAGAATATATATACAAAATATAAGAAGGAAACCTTAAGATGTTTGCCAACCTCACTCCAGACAGTCATGGCCCCTTAACTGATATGAATCAATTAAAATCACATAATGAGCTTACAAAGCCGAGTATAAATCCAAATTCACTAAAGCTTCCAACATAAGGCATGAATAATCAATATGCATGCTCAGTTTAGTCGATACTGTCAATAACGCTTAGTCTCATTAAAAAAAGTAAGAAATCATTTCAATGAATTGATAGTTGATACATAAATTAATAAACTCGTAAAATAATCATAACGTAAGTATTCACAATATAGTAAAGGAATTATAACATACAGGTGTCAATATCATTGGTCTTATATATTTTATTTATTATCAATTATGTGCACCATATGCAGTCAATATATATATATATATATATATCCATTATGATCTACCTATCAATATTATTTATGCACATTACAGCTCTATATATATCAATACTATAAGTGCATACATGCTTTGTTATATAATTCAATAAGGTAGGACATCCAATTATAATGTGATATTTCATCATTTTTTAATCCCAACTGCTTCCCAGTTGCTCATTAGTCATATCCATCATAATTATCATTTATCAATAAATCAATCATCATTATATGTGACTTTCATTAAATCAATAAAGAGTCGTCACTATGCTCATCAGTGTAATTTGTTCATCAAGTTCAGGCTACAATCGAGATAACTATAAATATTTAAAATTTTAGGTAAAATTTGCACTACAAAGTTGCTGTATAAAATAGTTAAATAACAGTTTCAAACGAAGTCCATAAATTACCAACAAAGGTCTCAAAAGAAAACTAAAAATATCAGACATAATAATTCCTCCATAAAAATTTCTCCATTTTAGGTGTTGTATGGTAGACTTCCACCATACATTCAATCATATAAAAAGAACTATTTTGTTATGGTCAAATTTTTAAAAGGAGTAGCTTAATAGTTTGGATAAGAAAAAGGAGCATCGCAGTATGAAAATTTAAAAATGAGTCAATATGTTGAATGGTTCAGCGCATTTAGAATACGCCAAACAGTTTTGCACATTCTGAATGCCCTAACAAAATTGGATGAGTTGATAAAATTAAAGAGATTAAAGAGAGAGGGAGGGGAGAGGACAGCTCTATGTGTCATCTCTCTCTCTCACCCAACAGCTCCCCCTCTCTCTCCATCAACTATCTCCCTCTCTCTTAGTCATCTATCTCCCTCTATCTCTCTCCCCGCCCGCTCTCTCTCCCTCTCTCACCATCCTCTTCCATCCCTCTATCTTTTTCTCTCTCTAAGCTAAATACGCCAATTTGGTTGGGTCATTCAGAATGCACCGAACTATTTGACGTATTGACTCCTTTTTTAAAATTTTCAATCTGTGATGCTCCTTCTGTTTATTACAACTATTAAGCCGCTCCTTTTTAAAATTTAGCCTTCTACTATTGCTTATCTTGACACATGGTTAACAAAGTGGGACATTCTTTCGTTGTGTTAGAGATAAATTACACACCATGAAATAACATGCTTATAAGAAGCGCATAGAGTTGAAGTATAATGTATGCAATCAAGTACTAATTAAACTACACTCCTATCGACAAATTACAGTAATAACTAAACAAGCCCAAACTTGCTTAACGTTACCATAACTCATTTCCCATTCTGGAATGAATTTGCGCTGCTGCATAAAAAGTAGAGCTTTCGACACAATCCCACATCCATCTAATATTCAATATCTCTTTACTCCATATGTTTCATGAAAATAATAATCAAAACATGGTGCCACTACCTTGCACCACCTTTCTCAAAATCAATTTGGATTCAAGCCAAGTAGGTCTACTATGGAAGCTACTCATTTATTGGGAGGGTTGATGGAGAAGTATAGAGATAATAAAAAGGATCTACATATGATATTTATTGATTTGGAGAAAGCATATGATAAAATTTCTATAGAACTGCTATGGAGAGTTCTAGAAAAGGAGTTAATAATGCTTATATTCAAGTCATTAGGGATGTGCATGTATGCATGAGCTTTTACTTGTGCTAAAACACATGGTGGTTGACCAAGTATTTTCCTATTTCAATTGGATTACATCAAAGATAATCTTTAAGCCCTTATCTTTTTTATTTAGTCCTGGATGTTCTTACTAGACATTTGCAAGAGGATGTACCATGGTGCATGCTTTTTGTTGATGATATTCTTCTTGTTGATAAGACTAGAGAGGGAGTTGAAGGTAAACTCAAATTATGGAGGTCAACCTTAGAGTATAAAGGTTTTCGTTTGAGTAGATCTAAAACCGAATACATAGAGTGTAATTTTAGTAGTAATAGATCTAGTTAGGGGTTTGTTACTTTGAGTGATCAAGTCATTAATAAGTGTACCCGTTTTAGATACATTGGGTCTATTGTTTAGAGAGATGGTGAAATAGATGGGGATATTATTAGAATAATTCAAGTTGGATAGTTGAAGTAAAGGAAGCTTTGGGTTTGTTGTGTGATAGAAAAGTACCACTCAAACTTAAGGGAAAATTTTATAAGATGATTGTGAGACCTATAATGCTTTATGGCATGGAATGTTGGTCATTAAAATAGAAACATGATATTAATTTAAGTGTTGCTTAGATGATGATGCTTAGGTGAATGAGTGGATTTACTCTTAGAGACGGGATACAGAACGAGCATATCCATGAAAAGGTTGGAGTAGCTCCAATGACATATAAGATAAGAGAGAGCCGCGTGAGATGGTTTGATCATGTAAAACGACGGCCTTCCGATGACCTTGTTAGGAGTGGATGTATTATATTTGATCTATGTTATGTAAGGTAGATATAGACTTAAAAATACTTTGTTTGAAAATATTAGAAATGACATTTCTTTATTAGATTTAAATGAGAATTTTACTCTTAACATGACACAATGGAGAAAAAATGATTAATGTAGCCGACCCATGTAGTAGGAAAAAGGCTTGATGTTGTTGTTGTTGTTGGTGCCACTAACTCCAGTCATGGGAAGACAAACCCATAGCTCTAGATAACGAGACTTAGGCTTCGTTTGAGACAACTTTCTTATTGTTTTATTTTTCATACAACAACTATAATTTCTATTTGACCACAATTTTTTCGTTGCATTAAAAAAAATTGTACTAAAAAGTTATTTTTTACAACAACTTTAAAAAGTTAATTTTTCTACAATATATTTACAAAGCAATTAGAAAATTATCTCAAATAAAATATTAATTCAAGGATGATGATCTCTATGGCATACCATTTAATGACAACCTTGAGAACAAGGCCATGCTTTCAAGATTAAGGGGAATTAAATCCTAAACCAAACAATCCAACTTCTATAGCAACTAACAAATCACATAACGTAAGAAACCGGCCTGGTTCAACGATTACAAATACAAAGGGGACTAGTAGTAGGACCATAGGTGCTCTTACATTTCTACCAAATTTTTTTGCAAATATTAGAAGGCTAGTCATGACTTGCAATCATGAGTATTTAGGAAAAATATGCACAGCTCCTTTTTTTCCTTCTCTTGATTGTCTTCATTTGTTTGACCGTTCTTTGCTTTTTTTACTGCTCATCACAACAGTGAAAGTCTCTGTTGGGAGTAAGCTAAATGCTTAAGAGAAGCTGCTCTGCCAACTCCTCCACAACTCTTGAATTCAAACCCCTAAGAGCATCTTCAGTCGCTCCAGCGGAATGTCAAATCTTCTGCTACTTGCTGCGGGTGAACAGTGTGACGTCAATATTGTTCACCAACACGATTTTTCTGCCTCAACCGGATTTGCCGAAGAAGCGCACCAAACAGGAGAAAAACGGTTACCTTCGCAGAAGCCTGCAAAATGGAGTTAGATTGGAGATGAATCACAACATTTTTTAGTTTCACTGCATTTTGGTGTGAAAATGAAATTTTCTGTTGGAGATACTCTAAGTCATATAATTTACGTATGCTTCTTCTATTGCGTGTAAATTTAATAAAACCATACCAACAAAGTTGAAGCGATTGATACCTAACTAATATTGTGATTGCAGCCTGGCCTTCTACTCAACGCCTTCTGTACCATTCTTGATGGCGACGGGCACACTTACCCACCCAGAGCTAGCCTTAGAAAATCAGAACCAAATCCTCAACAAATCCAACTTACCATTTTCTTAATTCTCTGCGGTTGCTACAACCGTAGCCACTTGTTCACTAAAAATACTAAAAAAGTATGGCATCAACTAAATAAATATATATGAATAAATTAATATTTTTAATTAAGGATCCGTTTTTGAAAAAAAAAATAATTCAAGTGTTATAAAAAACTGGTATGAGTGCTATAGATTTCTATAAAAATTTTTGAAAAACAAAATATTTAAGGCTATCGCATCTTAAGACATATTATTATATTATATAAATCAAATATTGAAACCTGTAATCATTTTATTGCAAAAAATATAAATTTTAGGAATTTTCAGTGAATATACAAGCTTTGAATTTGGGATCTCTTAGGCTTCGTTTGGAGCTGCTTTCTTAATGCTTTTTAAAGCTAATTTTTAGAACAAAAATTTTTTGAATTCAAAAATTCATATTAAAAACTGTTTTAAAAAGTAATAAAAAATCTGTTTCAAACGAGACAAATTTCTTATTGTTTCTTCAAACAGTTGTTTAGTAATTTTTGTATTAAAAAGCTGCTTTAAGAATCAATAAAAAAATCATCCCAAACAAAGTCTTAGTTGATAATCTAAGCTCCTAACAAACAAATTAAATAATGTTGTATAAAAGAATGAAAAAAATATAATAATAATAATAATAATCTATTTTTTATGTACCAGATGATGATTATCAGGCCGAACCAATGGAAGTAAGGGAATGAATTGGCAGAGCATGGAAATTCTCAAAGAATAAAGAATTAGGCTATCAGCATGCCAACCAAAGCTATGTGACCACATTAATTTATATCTAAGCTATATTTATCAAAAAAATATCACCTTTATGAGAAATTTTTCTGAAACAGGAGAGAGAAAGAGAGAGAGAGAGAGAGGGAGGTTCTAATTTTATAAATAGTTAAATTTTAGATTATATATATGAAGTTACCCAAAAAAACATCACAAATAAAAAAAAAAAGCTAAATATACAGGTGAAGTTTGAATAACCTGTTTATGCACATAAATTCTAATTTTAATTCTTGTGCCTATAAAGGCAGTTTGTTATAGACACTTATAATTATGAGCATGATAAGCACGCCCCCAAGCTGTTAGCTTTGTAGTTAGCAGCTAATCACCAATGATATCCAACATAGTACATGTCATCAATCCACTCCACGGTTAATGTCAAGAAAATCTATTAATATACACACAATCTCACTTTCTTTTTCAACCAAAGTGCTTTGGAATTTGGCATCCCACACTTTATTACTTTCAATTACCTTTAATTTGCCTTTTATTCTCTCTTTTCCATTACCCCATGACCTTTACTCTTCTCCACTTTCCCTTCATATTTACCCACCGAAAGCATTTGAATTCTTCAAAGAAGAGCTGAAGATGAGGGAGTTCAGCTATGATGAAGTTAAGGCAGCCACCAAGGACTTCTCCCTTGATCACCTCATCGGCAAGGGCAGCCATGGCTGCGTCTACAAGGCCATCCTCGATGGAGGCAAGGCTGTCCTTGCCGTCAAGAAGCCATCGGTTGTTGCACCGGCCCACATCGACAATGAGATAGATATTCTCTCATCATATAATAGTCGTTACATCGTCAATCTTGTTGGCGTCGTGACCAACCAAGGTGGAAGCCAACTCCTTCTCCTAGACTACATGCCGAACGGCTCTTTAGAAAAGTTCCTCCCCTCGAGGCCCAACCAATCCGAACTAGCATGGCGAGCTTCCGTTGCAATTCAAGTGGGTCGAGCCTTGATTGGGCTACATCGGGCCAACCCGCCCATCATACATCGCGATGTGAAGTCGGCGAATATATTGTTTGATGAGAGGTGGAGGGCCAGACTAGCAGATTTCAGCTTGGCAGTTCGATCAGGCGGGCCAGGTCGGCCAGCTGCAGGAACGATGGGGTATATAGACCCAGGGTATATTGGGCCTGGTGAGCTCAGGCCAGGGGTCGATGTGTTTAGCTTTGGGGTGGTGATGATGGAGTTGGTGAGTGGACGACGAGCAATGGAGATGAGGGAGGTGGGAGAGGGGATGGTGGGGAGGATGGCAGCATTGGCATTAAGATGTGTGGCAACAGATGATGGGAGGAGACCGGGGATGGAGGAGGTGGTGGAGGAATTGGAGAGGGCGGTCGAGCGAGTGTGGTGGCCATTAGAAGTGGTGAGGAGGTGGGTGAGGAGAGGGTTGAAGAGGAGGGGTGGGAGGAGGGTGAAGGTGGTAAGGGGTGCAACTAGAATTGTTTGTAGGAAGCATTTAATTGAAGATGGTGATGAGAATGGAAATTGACAGTTATTTTGGTGTTAGTTATCACATGTAAAGAGCAATGGAAGGGTTCTATAATTGTATTTCTCTTTTCTTTTTCTGTTTTACTCTCATACATTTTATCTTATTTTATATATGAAGAAAAAGGAATAATAATATTTACAATCATTAAAGTTCACTTTTTTTACATAATGTCTTCTTAAAACAATGTGATTTAGTCCATCTCTTTATGATCATGTTTTTAGACAAGTCGTATTCACAAATATGTTGACTTTGAAGAGGTAAGATTACTCATAAAAGCAATAATTCAGCTTTTTCAACATAAAATTGATATTTTTTTTATAATGATATATTTTCCAAAAGAAAATATAACTGAATAGAAATTATATGAGGCCCAAAATTTTTTGAAAGAGTTGAATTGTCATCATATACAGGCATTTTTCTCTTTGACCTTTCTGTTCTATATTGTCACAAAAGTCTCATGTTCAAAATTCAGGACAAAATTAATCAACTATCAATGTTCTCCACAACTAATGGAACCTTTTTTTCTATTTATAATTATATTGTCATAGATGAAAAGAAAAGAAATATCACAATATGATCACAAAAGATTGTCATTTAACATTATTTATATATTAATTAGATCTCCAATGCAATTCTCTAAGTTCTCTACTGAACTGCTATAGTAGACTACTATGAAACCTAACAGATCTTAGTAGCCAACTACTATTCAACAACCTCTGAAATCAAAATGTTCAGATTTCTACAGGAACTCCCTGAGTTGTATTACAGTCATATTTATCTGCAAATGGCCTTATTCGTACAGAAAACATATTATTTTGAGTGATTGAGAGTTTTGAATAACTTGAACCTATTAATCTACTAGTTTATAACAAGTTTTAGGCTTCGTTTGGGACGGCTTTTTAATTTATTGCTTTCTAAAACGGAGTTGTAGTGCAAATTTTTTATTTTTTGTACTAAAACTCTGTTTTCAGACGCAATAAAAAAACCGTCCCAAATGAAGCCTTACTTGAATGCTCAGAGAGAGGAAGAGAGAAAGCGCTTTAGTGTAACTTTCTGTAAATAACAGTACTCTTTACTGATAGGCTGTCTGGCATGAAATAATTTTATCATATCAAGCACTAAAGAGAGCAACAGCAAGGTCTTTTGTTTTGGAGGAAGCTTTACAAATAGAAAATTTGACAGTAATCATTTTATGCACTGTCTTTTTTACATGAATTTATAGTGACAATATATATCGACAAGAGAAGCATTATCTGCATATTATAACTTTTAATAAAAATTATATAGAAGCATGCTTTGTGGATTGAGATGCATATTATAATGTTGGAAGAGGAGAAAGAACTACTCCAACTCAGAAAATTGTTCTGATTTTTTAAAAAATAAATTATTAACATGTTATCAACATATACTTCTATAATGGATTCTATGAGGTCTTTAAAACCTTATTCATGAGATGTTGGTATACAAAACCGGAATTCTTCAATCTAAACATATAGCATGGCCCAATAAGAGTACAATCATGTATTAATTTGAAAAGAAGTGACTTCTTCATCAATATGATTCATCTTTATTTGATTGTAGCCGGAATAAGAATGTGCATAAAACTAAGCATCATATATCTATATGTGGCACCATTTATCGGTCTATGCAAAAAAGAGGAAAAGTGCCTTTTGGCATGCTTTGCTAAGATCAGTCTTAGAAATATAGAGCTGATCCAACTCATGAGCAAGCTTGGAATTGGCTTGATAAATGACACATGAGCTAAGCTCAATGAGCTAAGCTTGAGTTAGCTTTGATTTTACTTGTTAGTTCATGCGCTATTTCGTTTAAAAAGTGTTAATACAAAATATGTTTACAATATATTAAATTTTAAGAGTTTAAGTGAAAAAGTATTAAATATATAAAAATAATATCATAATACCTTATAACAAATGATTTATTAATATTTATTCCATATTTGCTCTTTGTTTTTGTCATTTTATCAAAACATTTGTTTGAATCAATATTATTTTTCCTTTCATAATAAATGAGTTGGCTCTTAAGCCGACTCACTCAAACTTGTAGACTTAAACTCGATTATTTAATTAAGCTCAAGCTTAAGAAAAGGGTGGTTTTTACTCAACAAAACTCGTTTACACTAGTAATCTACACGTATCCTTGACTCGACTAACCTTTTTGACCATAACTACTTCGTTAACCAAGTGGAATAATGGGTCTCTCAAATGAACCTAACTTCTAATAGTTTATCAACTTCTTACTCATTTGCTACTCGACTATCTGGCGTAAATTTCTCTCATTTGAATGATAGGTTTAAATGATCAGTTTATTTTTAAAGAAGTGTGAATTATCTTGAATTTATTTCTAACTAAATTTTTTCTTGACTTCAACATCTCAAATAAACTTGTTCCCAAAAGTTTTTGTACCGCTTCTTTTGTACATGTATTTCAAAACAGAATAAAAACTTGATCAATGAGTTCTGCATGAATCTTCATTGGTTATTCTCTTATGCAATAAGGGTATAAGTGCTACCACATCCCACGAGAAATATGTATGTAGTTGTTGATGTCACCCTAAATGAATAATAACATTGTTTTATAAATACTTATCCTCTTAAAGAAATATAATTCACAAATAAAGGAAAATATTTTTTCTTCTTGCTCGTCCTTCCTTGCCACTCATCACACCAAGAAACTATAGCGGTAGGAATTTAGCACAAAATCAAAGTTTAGATATACGACTCTGATAATGTATGAATTTATACATTTAAAAATTATCTTAGAAGGCACAAATATTGAACGAATAAATTCTATCAAGCTCTAATGTGATAAAAAGTTAGCAATCAATTTGCTCATAATCTTGTGTAAATAATTATATGAAGTATGTCAAAGTTGACAAATATTTTATAAAGGAGAAACTTGATGGTGATTTAATATGTATTACATTCATAGTAAATATGTGATCGACTTGTTGACATACCCACCAAATGATTATTAAACTGATATTTAAAAAATATTAAATTTGGAATGAAAGATGCACATTTATTCACTTAAGGAGGAGTAATGCACCTCCCTAAAATCATGCCTCCAACTGCTTCACTAGTTGCCCCTGTTAGAGATTACGCCTCCAAAGACAATGAAAACTTTGTCCACTTATTCTCCACAATAGCTTTTGGCTCCTAATTGTCCTCCAGCTTCCTCCACACAAACTCACTAATGATTAGGGGTATCAAGAAGGGTTAATAGGTTAGGGATCACACACATTCGTGCGCGTCACAGGCCAGTGGCCAGTACAAACAGGGTAGTGGCAGGCCAGCGCAGATGGGACGGCGACAACAGCAGGCCAACACGGGCGAGGCTGACATTGATGGCACAGCATTTTGTTCTGATCGGCCAGGACGATGTGGCGATTGGCCGGGCCGATCAGACTAATGTTATAAAAAATCAGCTCGATTCGAGGAGAGAGAAAATCATTTATTAAAATATCTGATTCTGAAGAGAGAGAAAGAGAAAGGAAAAGAGAAGAAATATTGGATTTCGGAGGCCGCGGAGCGCTTTTCGTCCGTCGCCACTGTTGAAAGAATTGAAGATCTCGCGGTAAGGACTCCGAATCCTATTTTTGTTTTCAGAGATATTGATTTTTGATCGAGTTGTGCACTGTTTTGTGTTTTCGTAGTCGAATTTTGGACCCGGTTTTATATTGACACAACTTTCACCGCACAACTTTTAGAATGTTATAGATATGAATATTGTACACGATTTGAGTATTTTCTACGATGATTTTACCGGTCGGAATTGGTTCTACGCAATTTTAATTGAATAGAAAAATATCAGGATGTTATTTGATATTGATTCAGTAGAACAATAGCCTTATATTGATGTTGTGAACGTTCTGTGTGAATTTGGAAATTAGTGCTTTTTGCAGGTTTTTTTGTGTAATCGTAGACTCGTACTCTTGCCGAATTTCGTAGATTACTATTTGTCTGAGATTGATAGATATAGATACTGAATGTAATATTTAATGATTGCCTTTAATATGACTAATTGAAATTGATTATACCGATTATGATACTGAACACAAGGAACCTGTTCTGAACGTGTTGGAATTTGAATTGACCTATACAGGATGTGGGCCGACGCTTTCCTTTAAACATTGATTATGGATTATATGGTATGAGGATCCATAAGAGTTCTTATAGATATGCCGATCTACCGTGCAAATAGAGTGGACGCATCTTTTATTGAAAACTAACTCAATGAACATCTTTACACAACTCCCCAGAATATGATTCTAACAATAGCAACAAACTTAGCTTGATTCCCTTCCACTTGCTCCCATATCTTTTCCATTAATGTGTATGTTTATCGTATTAATTACAATTTATTGCTTATCAATTTCTACTTATGATTTCATTCCTACTTTGTACATTTCATCATTTTCATTGACTTGCATCATTGAGCAAGATACTATTGATTATTGACATTTGATATGGAATTATAGATTATTATCATTGCTTATAGACTCATTGAACTTATTGATTCTGCTTGTATGACTCTACATTATTTATTATAGGGCTAGATTAATTATCGTATGCTTTCATTGATTTTATTACTAGCATAGCATAGATTTGATTGATCTTTGATGATAATGATCACCGACTGAATTTGACGGATGAATGTTTTTCTGTGTTACGGTTTCTTCGTATTATTACGTTATTAATGAGTTTTGGTTTATCATTTCCCGTCTTCGCTGCATTGTGGACTTCGATTCATATTGACTATGAGATTTCCTATTTGCATTAGACTCATTGACCATTGACTGATATGAATTTGATTGACTGACATGCATATTGATAGCGTCGCCGTGCTTTGATTTCAGTTATAGGTATTAGGTGACCTGCTGGGCTTTGTAAAGCTCATTATATGTGGTTGACATTTTCAGGTCAGGGCAAGGGAGCAGAAGATATGAATTGATCCGGATCTACAGGTTTTTGTCTTTTGATTGATAGTGATTCTTTTGTACTCAGGACATGTTAGATTTCTGTACTTGTGATTGTAGTGTAGTTCCTGAGTATTGTACATGAACTTTTGAGATATGAATCGACTTGTTATTGATGTTTTTAATTTATAGACTTTTGTTTAGACGGTGATTAATTGGAGAATTGTAGATAACTCTGGTAAATGGCTGGTTAATTGACATTCTTTCCAAGTTAGATCTCGGGGCATGACACAGCAGTAGGCTAGCGCGAACGGTCACACGACGACGCCGATGAGACGAGATCACACACGATGTTCGCGGATCAAATCGGGTTGATTTTTGAGTTTCCGTGTCAACTCGAACCCGCCACGATTTTACAAACGGGTTGGAATCTCGAACCCAAGCCCGACCTGTTTTCAAACGGGTTGATCTTAACCCAAAGTTTTTATGTTGTGTCAAATATTGACACCCATTCTAATGATTTTGGGCATCCTATTCATACATGATTGTTTACGTGCATAGTGAGATGTAATTATTCTATTTCTGTTTGCATCTTTGAATTTCGAGCCTGCATTTTTATATATGTTATACTATAAATTTTTTTAGAATTATACAAATTCAATATACATTGTGGAATAATATACATTTAACTATTCTCTAAGTCATCTCATTTTTCATATGTTTTTAATTTTTTCCATTAAAAAAAATCATTCCCCACTAGTGGGATAAATACTTGATGTTACAAAAAAAAATCATTAAGCCTTAGGATTGGATGACTGGCCCACATGCAAACAATATAACTTTCACTTTTACAGGTTCCTGTCTAGTTCCCTCCACAAATAGACATTCCACCACCTTGGTTTGGCTATGAGCTTTTGGTTTTTTCTAGCTACTTCAAATTTTAATTCCATGGAGAAGAGTTCCATAGGGTATATGGGAATGATGCGACATAGTTCATGGGTTTTTAATATTTTAATGCTATTATGTACTCTTATTTTGCTTGATTTTATCTTGGTTTAATTATTATTTGGCATGGCTATATTTTGATTTTATCGATATAATATCATTATTGAAAAAAAAAAATATTATATAATCATAAAAAAAGTTATCATGTAAATTATCTAATTTTAGATTTTGGGATAATTTTTTTATTATTTTTTGAAATATTTTTTTAGTAAAAAAATAAATTTTTTTATTAAAAACTATTTTAAGAAGCAATAAGAAAATTGTTCCAAATAAAACTTTAGCTCACCCAAATAAAATTAATATAAAAATCATTATCACATTACCATGACAAATCAATATTTTACGATTCAAATGCATGTATTATACATTGTTTTGTTTTATTTTTTTATCACCATTTTTCTTTCTTACTCATTAGGCTTTGGCTGCTCTGAGGCAGCGGTATTAATATTTGACATGATTCGAATCAACCCATTTAGATAACGGGTTGGATCGGGTTATAAATTCGGGTCAACCGGGAACCCAAAATCAACGTACGACCCGCGCAATCCAGCTCGCGTCCGCTCGTCGCGCGGCAGACGTTACTAAGTGCTGAATTCCTTTTCTACTTCGTCCTCTGCTTCTCGTAGGGTTTTTGTCTGAAGGCAAAAAAAAAACGATGTCAGAAGATTGTTCGTCCTGTGCTTCTCGCAGGGTTGTTGTCTGAAATCAATAAGAAGAGATGTCCGAAGATTCGAAGGTGAGTTTCCAACTAGATTTCTTTGTTAAGGGTTTTCTCAAAAGCTTGGCTTCTAAACCGATGAATCTTTTCTGCGTAGCTGAAAGGTGGGGATGTAGCAGACACTGATATTTACAATGTCGAGGCGGCAGAGATTCTTGCAAATGAGGCCCTGGTATCTTTTTATTTTTTATTTTTTAAAGTTGTTTTCCTACATGGATTCGCCTCAGGCCGGCGTTGTTTATTGGTTTTCACGTTTGTTGTTTCTTTTGCTATCTCTTGCAGCTTCTCCCATTATATGAGGCGGTGCCAATTTACGAGCAGCTTCTTTCTACTTTTCCTACTTCCGTAAGTCGTCAAATTTGCAAAATATATCACCGGATAATTTCCCTAAAAAATTGAAGTGATAAGTAGCTTTGATAAACCTAATGATGATGATGCCAAACAAGCTCTTGAATTGGAATTAGTTAAGCTCAAAATCTATTAGCCAAGAGGCAAGAAGCTATGTGATAGACTACACCTTTTTTTGGCCAAGAAACAGTAATATCATTCCTTTAAGCTGGGTCTCCTTATTCGAGTGTAGCCAATTAGTATCTATAATCTGGGTTATCTCAAAATTTCTTCTACCTCAAAATACATAATGATATCTGATTCATATATTAATGCATTGAAATCTTACTCCAGCATCGGCACCAACATAAATTTGAATATTACCAATCATCTCCTATAGTCAAGGTCCTCTCGCTTTCTGGTCAATAAATTTCATCTTGATGCTTGTCCTCCACATAGCATTGATATTATCAAGTTTTCAAAGTGGCAAGCATCTAACTATGCGTTCTTATTTGGTTACTTAATAGCCTTAAATCTTTCGATTGCCTCAATTGTTATGTTTTTTGCACCACATACTTCAAGAAAATAATGTATCTCATGCCTTCACAATTTGTTGTGAGGTTTTTTTATCTTCAACAAAATGGTAGGCAAATTATGAGTTTTATTGCATACTATGAGTAAATATATGAAGGCTTGCTTGAGTATCATCATTCACTACTAATGCAAATATTTGGCAAAAGAATAATGAGTAATTCATTCTACCCAACTTAATCTCCAACTTATATCATTCTTTGCAGTCTCCATCATACCTATCATTGCTATTGTTCTCTTATGATTTGTTCGCACCACATAGCTTCATATTCCCCAATCTCCCAGTCCTAGACTCCTAGTCAATCAACCTTGTTTGTTGTTTTTAGGGGTGATTAGCAGGGGGTTATAGATGTGGTGGCCATACTAATAACATATATGACTGTGTTCGTAATACCTTTTTGACTCTCCTTCATTTTATTCGCACCAATAATCCTCATAAATGTTACTGGGAGAAATTTGACTATCCTTCCATTGTTTAATATGCCAACTGGTGGTACCCTGCCTACTCCTGGTGTTTCATCCTTCAGATTGGTTAATCTATCTCAACAAGAATACAATCGATTGCTTCAACAATCTCAATTATTTTTCACAATGTCTCATGTTATATCATCATTTGGATTCGTTATAGTTATCTTTATTGGTGTTCCCCGAGTTTTAGGTTTAGGTGCTTTTTCCATACAACAGGCAATCATAACAATCTCTCACTTCGTCACATGATCTATCTACCACTGGTTATTGCTGTTGATGCTTCCTGCTCTCTGGTCTATGAAAATGTCATTGTACATCAGTTGAAAACTCAATCTTTCTCAAATGTTTTACATGTCCCACATATTATTTATTCTATGTCTTACCAAAGCTTCAAATGTTATTATAATAAATTTTCAATCTTTTTCTGTGTTTGGGATATTAGCACAAATAAAACAATTAGTGGAGGCATTCATGTTGGTAAGGTCTATGTAAAACTAACGATCCTTTCGTCATCTTTTCTATTATTATTCCATTCAAATGGCATTGTTGGCAAGTCATCCTCTTTCTATTAGTATTCAGGTTTTTGTTCCTGTTTACCTGTGTCTATCCAAGTTTGATTTTCATGCATGTGAGTTGGGTAAATACTATTATGTTTCATTTACTTCTTCCACCATTAATCTTTATTATCTTCCTTTTGAGTTAGTCCACTCAAGCATTTGGAGCACTAGTCTTGTTATTACTCACTTGTTTTGTTATTTTATCATATTTTTTGATAATTGCTCATGTTCATATAGGTTTACTTATTCAAATGTCTGTCAAAAATCCTTAATATATTTCATATTTTTTTATCAAGAAAGAAAAGTCTAGTTAATAAAAATTTATGCACTGATAATGCTGTAGAATTTATGCAATCCTAGTTTTGCAGCTTTTTCTCTGCTAATGATATTATTCATCTAATTTATTTCCGCTAAACTTATCAACATTCTAATGTTGTTGAACTTAAAAACTACTATCTTCTTCATGTTGCATGGACATTATTGCTTCATATAAGTGTCACTCATCAGCTTTGGTTGTAGTATTGGTGGCCCTGATAGCTCATCTTCCGTATCTTCATCACCCTTTTCTCGATAATCTTTTACCTATTTCTTCCTTCATGCTAGCCAAATTACTTTCCCCTTTACATCTAAGATATTTGGTTTCTATTTTGTTCGTCCTTTTTGCTTTCATGAAAAACTCACTTCTTTTGCTCTCTAGTGCATATTTCTCAGGTATTCCCACACTTAGAAATGTTATAGATGTTATGATCCTCCACTTGATGCTTATGTATTTTAATAACTGAGACTACACCTTTTTCCTTGTTTCTATCCTTTTGCGGCATTATCACTCATTTTGTCTTCCTTTAGAAGCTCTTCCCTACTTATATCCCTTTAAAGGGTTGCTCTTGATGCCCTAGTCCACCCTCTCGAACAACGCCTCCAATCGCATTATTATATTTGCATGAGAATCCATCCACTGATTGCCTTTTTTCATCTGCATTTACCACTCCCTACAGTAAAGTAAAAGACAAAATACTACTCATTCTATTTGCCCTTATATGCCATTTGATTATTTATCTTCTTCATTATATACCATTACCTTGTACCTATATTTATCCCTAGTTCAGGACATATCAAAAGGCACTAAAAAATCCTTCATGGAGATGAAACATGAATGCTAGATTTGGTGTTCTACTTAGTTTTCATGTGAGTTGGTTGTTCCCCTTATTAGGGTTAACCAATTGATTGTCAATGAGTGTTCACTGTTAAATTTTATCATGATGGCCAGATCGATTGATAAACGCTTAAATGGTTGCAAAAGGATTCATATAGGTCAGTGATTTATTCAACAAATTCTCCCCAGTTGCTAGACTTTAGCTCCATTTGAATTTTTTTTATGTGGCCATTAATCAAGATGATCTATGCTACAAAATGAATGCAAGTAATGTCTCTCAATGCTTATTTGAATGGGACGGTTTATATGGAGCAATCTCCTGATATGTTTTCTTAGAGTGAGAATAGCATTTATCCACTCAAGAAAACCATATATGGGCATAAATGAAATTTCTAGACTTGGTTTGAAAAGTCTTACAAAATTATTTCCAAGAATGTCCTTCCAATTAACACCAAATATCATTCTTTCTTCACCAATCATACATCTTTAGGCTTAGTCATACTTTCTGTTTATGTTGCTGACATCTTGCTCATTAGGAGTGATCTTAAAGCCATCTATGAAGTAAAATACTATTTGCAAAGTGATTGAAGTACCTTCTTTGAGTTGAATTGATCTTCTTGGTTACAGATCAAGAAAGGGTACCACTTTTAAAGAGGAAATATGCTACTAATTTTCTTGAAGAAATTGCTATTCTTTGTCCCTATGGATATTCAATCCATTTATGATAATAAGAGTTCCTTAATGATCCATTTCATTATTAAAGGAAAAAAAAAAATGATGTTTACTTGGCTTGACGTTGCACTTGCGTTTGAATTGTTAGTCAACACATGCAAATTCTAAAATAGAAGCATCGAGAGCTTATTCCGCGAATTCATGGGTAGAATAATAAGTTTTCTTGAAAAAGAATATCATTTATTAAGGCCAAATACTTGAATATTGAAGCCTTTTCAAATATTGATTATGCTGGTTGAAGACACGAAGTTAATCTCAAGATCTATATTTTTGGTGGTAAGGCGGTCATTTGGAAAATTAAGAAATGAACTATTATAGTTAGATCCTATTTTTTAGATTAAATACGAAGTTACGATGCAATATGCATATGATGTGACGTGGCTTAGGACTCTTTTAGGAGAGTTTGATTTTTTTATTTACTCAACCTCTGGTCCTATACTGTGATATTGATGCAGTGTCATCATATGACCTGTAGGTTCGAATTAATGAGACGAGAATAGATAGTAAGACTGTTATTTCAAATTCCATTTGCTAAACAAATTTCAATGTATAGAAAGAGCTACTACAATAACAACAACATCAAGGCTTTATCCCATTATGTGGGGTCGGCTACATGAATTTTTTTTCTCCATTGTGTCATATTAAGAATCAAATTGTCATTTAAATATAATAAAAATACCATTTATAATATTTTCTAACGAAGACTTTTTAGGTTTACCTCAACCTTTCTTAACATAAGTCAAATATATACATCTACTCTCCTTACCGGGTCATCGGAAGGCCGTTGTTTTATGTGATCAAACCATCTAAGACGACTCTCTCTAATCTTACCTTCCACTAGAGCTATTCCAACCTTTTCACATATATGCTCGTTTTGTATTTTCTCTCAAAGAGTAGGGTCACTCATCCATCTGAGCATCCTCATCTCTGTAACACTTAATTGAATATTATGCATCTTTTTAATGGACAACATTTTGCGCCATAAAGCATTTCATGTCTCACCACCATCTTATAGAAATTTCCCTTAAGTTTGAGGGGGAACTTTCTATCACACAAAAAGCCCGTTGCTTTCCTCCACCTCAACCACCCAACTTGAATTATATTAATAATATCCGCGTCTATTTCACCATCACTCTGAGCAATAGACCCAAGATATATAAAACATGTACACTTATTAATGTCTTGATTGCTCAAAATCACTATCCCCCCATTGAATCTATTACTACTAAAATTACACTAAATATATTTGGTTTTTGGTCTACTCAATTGGAAACCTTTAGATTCTAAGGTTGGCCTCCATAATTCAAGTTTTCCTTTAACTCTAATTTTATCAACAAGAAGAATATCATAAACAAAAAAGTATACACCTGGGTACAACCTCTTGCAAATGCCTAGTAAGAACATCCATGACTAAAGCAAAAAGATATGGGCTTAAGGCTGATCCTTAATATATCCAACTGAAATAGGAAAGTACTTGATGGGGACATCAGATCTTGGAAGGCGTGGGTGCCGATCTA